CAGAAATATTAATTCCTCATTCACGGCAAAGTTTTCAGTAAATCACAGAACACTTTCACTCAAGTTGATTTCCCCATCAAATAAAAGTAATTCTTAGCATTGATATCTAAAATCAAAGACTCATTCACAAACTAATTGACAGGAAGGCCTTTAAATCCCCCACTGCAACAACAAACAGTATCCCCGATTGTAGGTACCTTCTGCCAAAGACATTATATTATTATAATGATACCACTTCATTCTTTACATTTTTTTATCCACAAGAGTGAAGCTTCTCCAACATCCCATTAACTGCCGTCAAAGCGCAGGAATTTTAAATCATCCTATATCGTGCAAAATGGCCTCTTATAATCAATCTGATATTGACAAAGTCACAAGCAGTTGTCAATGTAGAGATGCGACATCAGTGGAGATCTATGATATATAGCCCTCTATTGTTATTCTTTCCACCTGAGAACATATAGCATGTATAGCAGCTATACACACTCTCACAGCTTTATAAACTGCTCCAGGAAAGCTTTGTAATGAATAAACTATTGACTTCAATAATTTCTGAAAATTAGACATCACTGTCCTCAATGATTATGCAGGCATGAATTTTTCTAAAACATCCATTGCATTTATTTTTGTTAGGCATAACAATATAGATCTTTTACTTTTTTAAGGCAGAGGACAATTATCTAGTGGCATCCTTGCATTAAATACTATACAAATTGTTATTAAATTTAAAGAATGAATATTTTGAATGCAAATATATATGTTACTAAAAACAACTGTCACTTGTGGAAAATTCAAAATATTAATTATTCTAGCCCTATTAAGCAGCTACAATGTTCCCACAAATGTCCCCTCTTTCTATTTAGAGAAAAATTTAGATCCCATTCTATGATCAAACTTCCTTCCTAGTACATGGTAGATAAATAATTTTTTCTTTAAGCTAACTGGAAAGTATAGATTATATTGTCCTACTTATGTAAAAAAAAAAAAATTGCTTAGACATGAAGATTATTAATAATAGGCTGATTTTAACATTCATCAGATACCCCGTTTACTTAATATTTCAAGCATGATTGTGCTACACACATGTATATACTGGTACAGTAGATACTCTTGAAAAGTTTTCATTTATATATGAAGTTTTTAAACAACAACAACAAAAGTTATTAGAGATTGGATGTCATGATTTAGCAAAGAAAGTGTAGTCAAGTTAAATAATAATGAAGATTCCAAGGAAATAATTAAATATTTGGTCAAACAAAGGATTTTTTATTTGACAGAGAGAGGACATTTTTAATCTTTAAATCCTAAATACAAAATTCACTTTAATTGATAGACTAGGTTTAAAGAACCCAATTTAGACAACAGCATATTTTAAAGCCTTGACAACATCAGTACCCCTTATAATTTTAAAAACCTAAATTATTTTCCTTTAAATTATCATTAATTTCAAAGTTGTATTTTATTACATCACTTTCTGATGGAATTCCCTTTATTACATGAACCAAGGGCAACATATGATTTGTTGGACCAAAAGGTGAAAATGTTGCCCGAGGCCACATTATCTTCAGGTCCAACAAATCATATGTTGCCCGAATCCCAGTCTGTTTTGTTATACTCTTCACTTACGGTAGAACGCTCAAAAATGAAAACTTTTGAACAGATTTAATCAATACATATTAAATAGTAACTTGACAGGCAATATTTTGGCTTTATCAATAAAAATGACAACAACAAAAAATGAAGAAAAAAAATGAATAAATTATTAAAACACAGAAATTATTTATCACAAACATAATATTCCCCTAACTATTTCTTTCAAATTAACAATTCTTGCAGCTCTAAACTTTGGCTATTTCCGTGTTGCCGATATTGATTGAAAATTAATTGCTTGTGACGCAGCAGTGACGTTGCAGTCTAACAGTTCTTATGTTGGACTGACAGACCAGTCAACAATGAAATTGTTAGACTGATACATAAAAAAACATTTACTTTATTGGACTTTTTATTGGTAATAAATATATAGAGAGATATCTTATAAGGGTATAACAAAAGCAGATATAATATATGTCCTTTAAGATTTAAAAATTTCTCAGCAAATATGGCACTTACTGGGATAAATACACTTACAATTATATCTAAATACTTGCGATTTAATATTCAAAAATACAGATTTTAATAAACATTCTATATTGTTAAAGGACTTAAGTCTCTGACATACACACACGTTCATTTTTCTCATGAGTTCTGCACCATTGAACTTGGGGAAAATTAGTTGTGATTCTGTGAATGAAAGTGAAATCCCATGAACATCAAAAGCCTTTAAGGCAAAGAGACCATCAATTAACTGTCTTTGAAATTAGCAGTACTTGATTCAGTACAATCATGTTGAGTTGATGACTCGGGGTCCATAACATTTTACAAAAATTATAACTCTGTGTTCCTGGACTACAACTGAGAAAGCTCTAAATGGAGAATTCAGTTAATTCAACCACAAAACTGCATGGAGTGTTATAAGTATCAGGATTTTGCATGTACAATGCTAGAACTGTAAATGTATTGGTCCAAGATTAAGTTATCAATGACAAGAAAATTATCTAAAATGTCTAAAAGCCAGGAAAGCAAACAAAAACACCGATGGAAAGAAACCTGAAAGAAACCTTTTAAGTAGGGCTCTCACACCACTTTTTGGGAATTGTGTAAAGATTGGGAAAATAGTGACCTTTTGGGAATTTTTTTTGGATAACCATTATACTTTAAAATCATGATATATATTAGGTTTCTGGTCTTTGTTATCAACTAAATTTTTGCTTTAGAGTACAGAGTAATATGAACAGGAAGTTTAGTTATTATATTTCCAACTATATTTAATTTTTGGGAGAAATAACTTTTGGGAAAAATAACACATTCAATTCGGAAAAAAAGATACACGTTTTTGGGAATGGGGCCCTTGAATGGCGCCAATTATAGACAATATATAGAGAGCTCTGCTAAGGATCAACAAAACAGGCAGGATCTGAAGGAATCAGGATTCAACAAGATGTGTTTGTGAAACACTGATGCCCCTGTACGGCAACCTACAGCAAAGGTTAAACTTTCTCAAATGCCTATCAAATGTGTTGGTACCCAAATTAAGGTCTTGGCTTGAGGAATATACCTGTGAAATGTGAAAGCCCTAGCAGCAACCATTGAATAGATATGGAAAAGGTTAAAGTTTTTCAAAAGTAAGTCAAACATCAAGAAGCAAAACAACAAAGAAAACAATATAAATACATGTATTATATATTTTAAATATTCATGTAAAAGAAATAATATGAAATACTTGTGATAGTCTGCTTTTTATATACAAAGCTATGACATCCAATTATAATCGGTAAAATCACATCGGATCCAGAAATGGATTCCAACCAATAATCAATCATTATGAAAATTAATTGATGTCCCATCACTTCCACGCTGATGCTAATGCCGAAGCCGGGGGTATAGCATAAGCTTATCTCAACTTTCATTGAGCATGTTGAGGTGAGCTAAAAAACCATACCAACTTATAAGCTGGTCAATGCAAATCCCTCTCAAATAATCTGAAAAATGTTAGTGAACAGACTTATAGGCATATACATGTAATACTCTTCCCTTTGATCTATCTACCGCTCTCCCAGTTGACCAGCAAATGACCTATTATCTTGACCAACACACACTGAGTGTTGCTAATTAAACAAACAACATCACTCTCAACTCTTGATCTTAAAATGTTCTTTACCATGTTTACACTGATTACCTGCATGACTTTTCTAATGCATTATATTCTGATGAAATATAGTATACATTTTTTGAGTTCATTATTTTAAAAAAAAATTGTAGTTGTTTAGATCTATTGATCAAGATGATATGTTGTGAGCTTAATAATTGTTTATTAAGTTAATTCATATTTGGTCAATCAGTGTACAACATGAAAGTTCATTTATGTCAACTTATCCACGCTGCTCCAAGAGCTTTAACCTAATTGCATATATATACATACAGGATATGATATATTTGAACTTTCTTTCATTTAGCATAAAAATAATTCACAAACATTTGACAAGTTCCAGGTTTGCAAAATGCAAATTATTACAGTTAATCATGATAGATAATTTATTTGTAAAATTGCTTTCTGTAGAAATAACATTCATATATATCATAATTTTTTTTAATAATGCATGAAGTTCAAATCTGAAAGTCTAACATAAAATTTATATCATGTACATGCATACTCCATGTTAAGAAAATGTTCCTTTGTCAGTGAATATAATTAATTTTACTGTTTAAATTATTCATTATAGATAAAATAATTGATTTCTGTGAGGCTGCAAGCAAGATATAGAACAATGTCTGAAATTTTATCAATATATGTCATGAGATAAATATTGGCAGAATAATGCATAATTTAAGTTAGACTTTTTCGTTTTTGTTTTTTTTACAAATACTGCATGTGAAATAATCAAATATAATTTTAGAGTTTTTACACGTTTTTTTGAGTCCTGTCTATAGGTCTGTTTATCAGCTTTACTGATAAAACTTCAAAGACTAAGGCTTCATTTTTACCATTAAATTGGGACTAACCTGTCTTCAATTTGACCATGGTGACTAGATTCACCCCAGATGAGATCCCTGAACCTATATCTTGGTGGTAGGGGAGGAACTTGTGAGTAGGAATCCGTAAATTCCATGTCATCTTCAAACATTTTTGTATCTATCCATTCTCAGCTGCAGCATCAAATCTTGAATTATTGATTTTTAGGAGCTGTCATTTATCGCAACGAATATAATGGAAATGTTCAAAGCAAACAGTCCATTAAAGTAATCGTTCCGATCAAAGCAACCTCAATTAGAAAAATGCCCATGAAAAATAAATAAAAGTATCTTTTAACAAGTCTTCATGAAGTATTTTGCAATACCATTCATCGTTTTCGTTTTGTTAAATTTTATGTGCAAACTTGTCAGATTTTGTGTTTTTCGAGATGGAGAGGCGAGTCTGAGGAGAAAAACGTAAACCAAATATGGTAAAAAAAATCAAATTGTTCAAAGTTTAATGACAAAAAGTGAACTGACTGATGAAGTATAAATAAATCACAAAACGTCAAAAGCAGGAACTTGCGAGCAATACTGTAGTGAGTGGTTCGAATTTCCTCAGTTTTTATATATCAACAACTTCGTTAACCCTGGGACGCATATGGGTCCTTGGTTAACCATGTTAAAGTTTGATCCGAGGGTGTAAATGTTTAAAAGTAATAAGGGATAAAACTGCCTTAATTTAATTTTTTTTCAAGTATTTTAAGATTTTGTAGCTCACTCCTTTCAGCTAGAAGTAGAACAATTAACCGTTAACTATGATATGAACTAGACCGATTGGGTTGTGTAGATAAAATACAAGTAATCCCTATTTCAGTCTTTCAAATAAATATTCCAAAAATCTTTAAAGAAATTTTCTTATTACACCCAGCTATCATTATGTAAAGGAAAATTCCCGCATGGCATAATCAGTATTTTTAGATCACGGCTGTAATAGATGTAGACTTTTAAAAACTAGCTTCCCGAGGAGTCAGTTGATCTAAATAGAATGTTTAATCTTTGATTAGTTTATAAGTATTAAGAATTAATTAAGGAATGTTTTTAAGTTTTGTGTGAGTTATTGGTGTGTAAATCACACAGACTTGTCACGTAGGCATATTTCATAAAGCGCACTAGCACATCATGAAAAATATGCCTACGTGCACAAGTCTGTGTGATTTACACACCAATAATTCACACTAAACTTAAAAACATTCCTTATATTTACATTTTACATGTTCAAAAGCACCAAAAATATACTCAAAGTTTGAATTATTCGCTGTCCTATATCGTTACATTTTTATTAACGTCTCTGTAGCTCATTGTGACGTCACTTTAGTGCGAGTTTCTCAGTGCATATTTCTACGCGTGAGTATACACGAAAATGGCATTCAAATCCATTTCACAGTTGGCTTAGTAGAAAAACATAGCAAATGTAAATATTGTAATTTAATTAACTTTGTGGGAGTGTTCTTAAAGCCTCATAAAATTACATATTTGCATGTCCCAATTTACCCAACTCAGCATTCACCATGAATTATCAACAGTCTCACTGTCTGTCAAAATCTTGACACGTTCAGGAAGTGATGTTTTAATCAAAATGGGTTTCAAAATTTATCTCATTAAAATTATCAGGTATAAGTACATGTAGTAAATTTGCAATTTTGGTTAGGGCCAGCCGGTTAGTAAAAATTATGGGAGTCAAAGCCCAACTGGGTTTGTACGCATAAAAGTTAGTCTGGATAAGCATAAGTAAATGCTCTTGTTTCTGAGGTTTGGTCTGTGTTCATGTTGATCCTCTGAAAGCAATGATTTAGTAGAATAATGTATACATCCCTGCCTAAAGTAAATATGCTGACAAACATAAAATCATCTGAATCTTTTGTACTTGGATTTAAGGAATGAATTGTGATAAAGAATGACTTGTAGAAATTGTTAAATTTTAGTTATTAGCTAACCTGAACCAAAGACTCAATTTTCCAAGTGAGTTTTTCTGATTGTAGGGTGTCTGGCATCCATATGTTGTGTGTTTTCTGTCATTTTTTTTTTTACATTTTCAACTTCTTCTCCAGAACCACTGGGCCAGTTTCAACAAAACTTGCCACAAAGCATTCTTGGGCGAAGGAGATTCAAGTCTATTCAAAGGAAGAGCCACATACACCATCTTTCCAAAGGAGTTAATTAAGAATAAGTGAAAAATTTTGAGTCATCTTTTAAACATATTAAAAATCTTACGAATCACTCGATCGACAAAAAAAGATGAAAGTTTTATAGAGTTTCCTGATGTAGTATATATTCAAGTTTGTTCAAATCATGACCCTCTGAGGGTAGGGGGTTAAAGGGCTTGGATAGGGGATATCAAAGTGTTACGTGGGAATATATAGAGAAAAAAGTTTGATAAGTTTGTTCTAAAGGTGAGCAAAGCCACGATCACCTGGTTGTCATATTAATATGAATTTCAAAGCATCCTCATGTTGGGTAGATTCAAAATTGTTCAAATCATGGCCCCAAGGTGTAGGATGGGGTCTCAACAGAGGATCAAAGTATAACATGAGAAGTTTATTAAAGTCATGCAGTGATTGGGAAGGCCATGAAGGTCAATGGGACTGTGGCGCATCTGTCAAAATTTTAATGGGCCATTTTGAAAATGAATGGGGCATCTATATATTCTGAATGGCCATTTTAAGAAATAACAGACAAACATATATGGAATACGAAAGAAAACACATTTTTTAATTAACCATATCTAATTTTTTCACTTATGCAGTGCAGCACATTTATAGGAACCCTCTTATGTAGTATGATCTATCCCTGTTTTTGGATCATTAACATCAAAATTTGGCTTGAGCATTGGAAATGAGTGAGGTAATGTACCCCATTTGTTGTCTTATGTTAAATGCTTCATATTGCAGGAATCAGTTTTGATAGGTTTCAACCAATGAGATTTGTTGTATTAAAATGACTGCATTTAAAACAAAAGTAAAACAAAGAAAGTCGTACACAAAATATTTCCAAATAACATCACAAAAAAACTGAATGTGCACCTTGGTGCCGCCAATGGTTGATTTAATGCACCAATTTTCACTTTCATGCAACTAATTATGGCACATGGTGCAAGCCCTTCCAAATCACTGGTCCTGGCCCCAGGGGAAGGTTGGGCTACAATGGGGAATCAGAGTTTTACAAGGGAATACATAAAAACAAATCTAACCAAGAGTAGACACACTAAATTATTTAATGTACAGTACAACTCATAGTGGAGTCTTGGGGACCTTTGAATTTTCCTTGCTATATCTGTAATTCCTTATATCCATGTAACACGTTAAATTCATTAAAATTTATATAGCGAATTCCTAATATATACTTCTTGACCTTCAAGTATGACAACCAATCATGCTCTGGGAAGTATTAGATATAAAGCTTACTTTGGATTGCTAAAATATTCTGATGAATTGAATTTCAAATATAAATACTCATGCAACAAAAGTGTCAGTTCAATATTTTAAATTTTTAGATCTTTAAAATTTGTTTAAAAAAAAAAATGAATATTTCGTTATTTTTAACATGTATGGAATACAAAATTAGTTCAATATAGCCATAAATTCTTTACATCAGAGTTCTTTATGACCATAAAATATTACAAGGAATTGTTTAGAATTTTGCCAGGGATCTTTAAAAACTTCACTTTATCCTTAAATTTGTTATATTTATGTTTGTACTAAAAAAAGTTTTACTGTACATGTATATACATTCTTAAGTTGTGTAGCTTTTTTTTTATTTTTTATTTATTTATTTTTTTTTTTTTAAATATTGAACCCTTAATTGGGTTAGAGTGGGTCTAAAATCAGAGATTGCAGATTATCAGAGATAACACATGTGTCCAGCCAAAAAATCTTAACTATCTTCTCCATGGGGAACAACAGGGCCATTTAGTCTTATTGATATTGAAGCATCCCAATGCTTGGACTCAGGTTTTGTTAAATCATTTAACTCCTTCAGGCTAGGTTGGGGCCTCAGTATTTGATAAATTTTATGGGAATGGAACAAAATCTTTTCAAAATCTTCTGAAGAACAGTAAGACCAATTTGACTCAGGTGAGTGTTAGAGTTCACGGGCCTCTTGTTATTTATAGAAGTACTTTCAAATGGTGAATTATTCATATTTCATCCTTTAGCTTAGTTAAAATGTTGGATGCTCATTATCATTATCAACTATTAGTTCAATGGGAAGCAGAGTGAAAAAATTGATTTGTAAAGATATTGATACATGTATGTGTACATCTACTGTACACATATATAGTGCATACAACCTTATATTTATACTAATAATGCACATAATCATTGTTAAAATGCCTACATTCAGCAAATTGATTTTAATCTAAGATTTTTAATGGTCTTTTGAAATGGGGCATTATTTATTAGATGAAGTTTTGTAATGTTTTCTATTTTAGTAGAACTTGCAATTTGGTTCCAAAACAACCTATTTTATGTAATTGGTAATGGGAAATGGAAATGTTATTAAAATTTTTCCCTGCCCGTAGCTTTGATTTGACATACAAAATCACACCATGGCTGTCTGACAAATTTTTGGCTGAAGAAACATGCTCAGAAGTCATATATTCTAAAGTACATAAACATGTATATAAATGCTAAACCATATACATGTACTATAGTTCTAGTAGGAGCCTAGGAGACAGTTTTCTAATGTTACTTGAGAAAGGTCAGACATTGTGATAAACTCTGAGTTGTCTAATCACTTTTACTGACATGGTAGATGATTGTCTTATCTTAGGTATTACAGGTGATTTCTCCTAACACCAGTACTTGGCAGCTGCCATCTACAAAAGCTTTATAGACGTACAATTCTATATTCATGTTAATTATTATTGATAAGTTTAATTCCTATGCTAGGTGAAAGAGGGACAACTCTGGCAGATCAGCCTACAATGAAGTCATTACCATGAGAAGAAAATGGAGAGTTTTTGTCTGTTTAACAGTCATCTTTATCCTGTTTGTTTCCTACAAAATACTGGAGCCAGACATCAAAGGGGAGATAATCCAGACAGATGACAAAGGTCTTCCTGTAGCAAGGGAAGACAACTCTGGCCTAGTGAGAGAGAAGACTCAGAGAGACCCAGGGGACATTGTTATTGAGTTACAGAAAAAGTACAGACTAGATTTCAACTATCCCCTCAAAGAATCTCCATGGCGGGTGGCAGAAAAAATGGTGAAGAGCCGAGAAATACATCCGGAGTTCGCACCAGAAATAGGTCAGTTTATATTGCATGCTTTTGGTGTGGGAGTTGCTCTCTTGTTTTACAATTCAAAAAAACTTGCGTACCATGTGCCAGAAAAAAAGTTAGATTCTTAGAAAATATTATTCTGTCATCACACAGCAATGCAGAGGAGTTCAGAAGTACATTTAGTTATATTTACTCCTTCATGGATAATCCATTACACATGTAAAAGCAAACAATGCATTTCCTCGATAAGCATGAAATTTAAGGACACATTAGAAAAGTTTATCATTATTCTTAAGAATTTAATCTTTATCGACACTGAGATATTGTAGCTGAGTTTTAATATTGTATTTTTAATTTATATTCAAATGAGTATGATAAAAAGGCTCTGTATAAGATTTCTAAACTTCTGGATCCCCATTATGAATGGATTTGTAGATTTATTTTAAATTAATATTTGAGTGTGATATGAAATAAGTTTTTGCTTTTTCAAAAAAATTCAGCATAATTCTCCTTTTATGTGATATTATTAATAAAAATTTTAAGCTTACCTTTCAAGATTGGTCTCTGATCCATATGCATAATTTAGGATGTCTTTATCAGGACCTAAAGGGTATGTCGGAACTTTCTGATATCTATTCCTCATAGCTCTTCTCTCTTTGATTTTATACCTTCGACGATGGGTTGTGGAACCATTCTCCCCCTCCTCACTCACTAAAGAAGATAAGGAGCCAAGCATTGTTATATTGAACAGGAAGAATCAAGTGTCACTTGTACTTCACTCAACATTTAATTTTTTGGGGAAAATTGGAACACTTGATGCACGTGTATTGCATGTCAAGGTCAATGTAATCCACAAATGAGATGACCTGATGGTGTAATTTTGCTTGTTTTTCATGTAATTTCATTTGTGTACAAGGATTAATTTTACTTAGTATATGTTACAGTTGTTTTGAATTTAAATTAAAATCCATTTCAATGTCCATGCATTTTTGTTGTATATCTTCTTACATGGATATACAGCTTATAATTCTCATTGTGTTAAGCCACTTATGATAAATACTTTAATAAATCAGGATAATGCCTTAGACTTAAAATTAGTCAGAATAAAAAAACTTGTGTTTATATACATAGATAGGTAGCCTTCTATATTTATGTGAGATTCAGCATTCTCTTAAATTCACTAATATTAACATGTACATCAAGATACCAGTGTCTAATATTTAAGCATAAGGTTAAACAAAGATGCCATAAATACTTAGCAATGAAAGGTCTCTAATGACCACATGGCACACTGGTCTGTCAAAGAAATTTAATGGCCACTCGTTCGTATCGCATGATACCTGTTTTAAGCTCACCTGAGCCAAAGGCTTAAGTGAGTTTCTGATTGAAGCTCACTTGTCAACCCCTTGTCTGTCTATGTGTTTACTTTTTACATTTTTGATATCTTCTCCAAAACCACTGGGCTAATTTCATCCAAACTTGGCACAAAGTGTCCATCAGTTAATGGGATAAACATTATTCAAATCAAGAGTCATGTCCCCTCGCAAGGGAAGATAATCAAGACAATGCAAAAATAGGAGGGTGCATTGTATTTTAAAAGTCTTCGTCTCAAGAACCATTTGGCTTGGAAATGTGAAACTTATGTGAAAGCTTTTTCCCATAGTATAGATTCAATAAAATCATGACCCCTGGGGATAGAGTGGGGAAAAGAAACAGAATCCAAGTTTAACAGTGAAATATAGAGGATTTGTTTTTTTTAATTTGTACTCAGGAACAGATAATCATGATCAGTCATATTAATATGCAAGTATCATAAGATAATGATACGATCCAAATTTGTTCAGATCCACCCTCACCCCACAATAGGGGATCAAAGTTGTACATGAGAATATGGAGGAAAGAAAAGTAGGTCATGATTAGTCCTATTAATCAATATGCAATCATTCTCATATAGTGTAGATTTAAGTTTGTTCAAATAATGGGCCTCTCATGCAGATTATTGGTTCCAGGGTTTAGATTGTGCCAAAATAAGGTATAAATTATTCACATGGAATGTTTAGTTTTCAAGTTCTTGTAGTTCTCTGTTGAATGTTAGCCAATCTGTTGTACCCTGCTGGTATATAAACATTCCTGAGAGTAATGGAAAACTTAGCAAAACATGGACACTGCCACGCTTTTTACAAAATGAGGGGTACCCATCTCTTATCTGCAACTCCTCCTATACCACTGAATAAAATTTAATGATACTTTCACGGAATCTTTATTGCATAGTGCCAATGTGCACCTCCTTCTTTATGTTTTGACTAGGGATGTAAACGAATATTCGAACATTCGAATATTCATTCCATGAGTTGATATTCGAATATGAATTTAAGATTCGAATATTCGATATTTTTTTCTGATTTCATAAAAAGAAGTACTGTGTTTAATAAATTTTGGTTAGAACAGTGCTGGAATTATCCCTGTTTAATTTACCAGTGATCAATTTCGATCGCCTGATTTCTTTCACTACTTTCTTATCGTATATATCTACTAAATTATTTTGTTTTGAGTAAGGTATTAAAGAATTATACAACAATGCTTTATGTATAGTACAAACGTATTTTCCTAGTTTTTATTAAATAAATACAATCGGATCTAGAATTGAGGACAACAAAATCTTTTTAGAATGTCTAAAGACCTGGCCTGAAGAGTAAACTTATCAAAATAAATTTAATTGATCATTGAACAATTGTCCGATAGAATTAGTCTGTAATTAATATTGTACAGGGCTCAATTTCAGAATAAATGTGTAAATTACTCTATCTCGGGTTGTACATAATCTTGAATTTTATATTCATTATCGGGAAATTAGTTAATTACCTAGGAAAATTGTCTATGGTAATATTTGTTTATATTTTAAAAACATTGTATCAAAGATTATAATCATATCTCTTATTAGGTTGATAATTGTAATTAATGACATGTATTGAAATCTGAACAGTGTATGACTATCCTTGGTAAGGTGACTGGTTCCTCGGAGCTACTATAAATACACATGTATCATTTGTTAAAATTATACTTTTCTACATTTAAATCAATTATTTATTTCAAACATTGACGAATATCAAATGGAATTCCTTATTGTACATATACAAAAGTATTCATACAATTTTACTTCCAATATAAGAATACCAACGCTAAATCTTTCATGAGAGGAGGATGCTGCATACCGGTATTTAAAATAAACCAGATTTTATTTATTTAATCGAATATTCGAATATATTCGAATACTTTCATTGAATATTCGAATATTAATTATTGACAAAATTGACATCCCTAGTTTTGACCAAACAGATATTTGAGCTTTCCCATGGCAAAAAACTACTGCCATCATACTCATATGTGAGCTCAGTTTGTATATGTAATCAATCCCATAGAACATAATTCATGGGAGTTATTTTACATGTAGCAGCAACCATTGAAAGGTTAAAAAAATTATATTGGGCAAAATCTATCTTGAATTTAAAGCTTTTAATACAATTTTTACACTGTACATATTGTGGACATAAAAGAGTGTTGTGATAATTAAAGTTTTGAATTAGCTTTTAAAAGCTTAAAAGCTAAATTGACCCAAGTGAAGTGCAGTGTGTGTTAACTTTTCCCACCCATCTCATTCTTTGGAGCATGTGTTCACTTTTCCCACCTATCCCATTCTTCAATGCATGTTCACTTTTCCCACCCATCCCATTCTTTGCAGCATGTGTTCACTTTTCCCACCTATCCCATTCTTCAGTGCATGTTCACTTTTCCCACCCATCCCATTCTTTGCAGTGCATGTTCACTTTTCCCACCCATCCCATTCTTTGCAGCGTGTGTTTACTTTTCCTATTCATTCCAAATATATTCAGACTCTTTTCCACTGTCAAGCTAGATTTCCAAAATAGAAACATGAGACTGCAGTTTTCCTTGCCTCAAAGAAATGTACGCCGATGCTCGGGATGGAGCTCGACGTCTGTACGTTAATGAAAAAAGAAAAAGAGTAAATTTTATTTTATCTTCTCTGTTATGTCTACAACTAGTTATGGAAAACTCTAGCTCTTTGTAGATGTAAAATAGGAAAGCAAAAAAAAAATTGCCAAAATTGTTTTTGTACACTCACCCCATTATTGACAGTAACAGCTAAAGCCCATAACTTCACATAAAGTCAGTGAAACAAAATCCATAATTCATATTAATGACCAAGTTACTCAATGCAGATTCACAATGGCTATTTTTCACCTTTAGTCAATACTCAGGTCAACTCAATACCCTTGATCTATCGGACAGGGCAATTGTGAGAGAAACATAACTGACTTTGCTTCACATGAATGCACATGAAAATCAATGACTGATTTGAGCTTACTTCTGTCAACATCCATGCTACTGTAAGAGCTTGCCAAACACGAAACACTTTTTTTTTTCTAATTCAGCAAGTATGTTTTTTATATCAATGTTGCGTGGTTTATGTGTATGGCAGTTCTTTTTCAGACAGAGTATTGACAATTACTTTGCCAGAGTTATTTTGTTGTCTGTTTGTTGGAAACGACTTTGGATTGCATATTAGATGAACATTAACACATATTTTTATCTACTTTTATTCAAATTTTGTAATTTAAAATTCCAGTTGAGTGATACTGTCTCTGACTCTCTGTAGGTCAGAAGTATTGCATTTACAGCATTGATTTTTTTGTTTTGTTTTGTAATTGAGTAAGTGTAATATATATTTCATGTGACACAACTCAGAAAAAATATATGAACAGGACGTTCCGACGCCAGAATTTCTCTCAACGGAGACAGCCCTGAAAAGTGATATTTCTAATTAAAAAATATCATTTCATTATGATTCTTATAATATCCAGAACACAATATTAGCCATATTGTGTATGAATTTCTATTTTTCATTACCATCAAAAACTTTAAATTGCTATTGAACCATCAGCCCTTCAGAAATAAACACTTCAAACTTCATTCATGCAAATGCATGGTGATTATGGGAATATTATGTATTTTATGTCTGCATCCAAATTAAGTGGAATTTAGAATGGATGCAATGGGAATATAGCTTTTCACAATCACATTTTGAAAGGTCAGGTACATGCAGCAAATATGGGAAAAACTGGAGATTGTAGCTCAGGAAGTTGGAAAGATTTTTTTTTAAAAAATCCATTGAGTTTTGTTCCAATGGTTCCAATTTCTGCATTTTTTTTTTGTCTTGGTGCATACTTAGATAATAAAGTTAAGTCAGTTATTTCCATTTCAAAATGGAAGAAGATGGAAGTAAAGTTAATCATGCATGTAGCATCTTCAGTGAGATTGATCGTGGGAGTCGATCCGCAGATGATGAGCATTGAGCATGTAGAGGTATCAGTCAATGCCAGTAAACAGGATATATATGTAAGCCTGACTTTATAAAATTATCCCATGTGGTAGAACCTTGGTATAGTTAACAATTCAAAAATGGCTGTTTCAAATACTAGAAATTGTCTTTAAAACTTTGTAGGGTTTATATATATTCTAACATTTTACAGGCCATTTTCTCAGGGGCTGCATGCACAAATTCACAGTTAAGTTGCAGTAAAGAGCTGCAATCCAGACAAATGTGTTGGTCCCAGCCCCTGTATAAATGAATATTTAATGCTTATTATAGTACCAAATCCATGACAACAATCTGATTTGCTTTGAGATACATGTATTTGTATTATATCAAAGAAAATCTGAGAAGTCTGTTTCAGAGTCACTAGATCAGGCGAGTGAAACATTATAATCTTGAATGCAACCACAACTTTTGACATACATCATAATTTTGCATACAAAACTGAATATATTCATATACTATATATACAAAACTGACTATACTACATGTACTATATCTACAACTGTAACAAGTACATGGAAGAAAATTTCATCTTTTATGCATTGTTATATGTGTAACATCTGGTAGATGTTTACTGTGCAAATATGCTCCTGAATGGTAAATTTTAAACCGTATGACTGTGAAGACAAGGATTGGGCTACAGAAAGGTCAATTTTTGTGTTGCCTGTGGAGCAGAGGTCCATAGAAACCACTTTATTAATTATCTGTCTATCTGTTGAGGAGAAGTCACAAAATTTCATAATTACAGAGAAAGCAAAAGTAATTTTTCATTGTGAAATTTTTTTATGGTGGAGTTTATCTGCATGCATAGTGATTCACAGACACTAATGCAGAATGTTTCAAGGATAACAAGTTATGGTATTACATTTTCATATATCAAAATAATCAAGATTATATCATCAATAAAACTTGAGATCTATTATGACAGATTGATTTTACGTGCTTTCCAAATTTCTATAATAATTCTAATGTACAAGAGACATTAACCCTTTCAGTAATGGAAATGCCTCAGTTGAATCCCTCAACTTGTCAATAAATAAATGTAATAAAATCTCTTTCTCCATGCTACTTTCTCATAAAATGGTGTCCTACCTGTAATTATAACATGTTTCCCATCAGATATGCTCCCATTCTGTTTCATGATCGGTTATTTAAGAAAGACACTTTTTAGTTTGCTTGAAAATTGTGAGGTAACATTATTCTAAACTGTGTTTAATAGGTCCATGCAGTAAATGTCTCCTTTACATATTTATTATAGTAGAGATGTACACGCAGGATTTTGTTTATTGATCACAAGCATGCAACAACTTTGGAAAAAAAACACTTCATTACCAACTGTGAACACTCTGGCCAGCAGGGAGCAAGTATTGGATCCGGGGAAATTCCAATAAGCTCTTTTGATTCAAAGGAGGTAGCTGCATCAATATGATCAGAGCTAAAGAGATTTTTTGGGGGATACTTTTATCCATGAAAACCTGCTTTAATTTCCTAATGAAACTTGGATATGTAAATACATGTAGTGTGTTCATCTGTTGTGTCAGGCATCATCTTTACATATTTATGATATTATTTTACAATATGAGCTAGTAATTAATGTTTTTGTGAAATGATTCTCTTTAATTAAAAAGAAAATAAGTTAACAGAGATCTCTTTTTAGTTTTAAATATCAGATTAAAGTTTTTTTTTTTTTGTTTTTTGGTTTTTTTTTAGATTTTGATATCAAAACTTATTAATTGAGATAATGGCTTTCAAATTTGGAAGATAGTTTCCTGAGATGAGAATAATTTTGAGGTTCAAGTACCTTTGGCTAGACAAATGAAACTGATGAATGTTTGCTTGTGCAAGATCTTGCCTCTGAGCTCTGTTGCCTTTTTGACGAATCATGTTATTATAACAGTCTGCATATTTTACTGTGGAAAGTCTCAAGAGTCCCAACAATCAATTGACATTTGTGTTTGATATTGATCAGATTAGATATAAGAATATTCAGCACTGATTTGATATTTGGTCTGATTCATCCAAGAATTCGGCTCAGATTTAGAGAAATCATGACTTAACAGAATTTCTTGTATCTGTTATCTGTTTGGAGGTAAAAATTTGTTTTCAAAGAAACAATAAAGCTAAACTTTTGTACATTTTTCATTACGTAATAAATTTCTTTTAATGTATTTAATGAGAGCCGAAGGCTCAGCTGAGCTTTTCTGATCAAAAGGTGTCCAGTGTCTGTCTGTTATCTGTAAACTTTTCACATTTCTGACTTCAAACTTGCCACAAAGCATCACTGGGTGAAGGGGATTCAAATTTATTCAAATGAAGGGCCGTGCTCTCTTTCCAGGGGAGATAATACAGAATTAGGAAAAGTTAAATAGAATCTTTTAAAAATCTTCCCAAGAACCACTGTGCCAGAAAAGATGAAACTTGTGTGAAAGCCTCATTACATAGTGTAGATTCAAGTTTGTCCAAATCATGACCCCTGGAGCTAGGATGGGGTAACAGTAGGTGATCAAATTTTTACACAGGAATATATAGGAAAAATCTTGAAAAATTCTCTTTTCAAGAACAGCAAAGCCCAAGGGCAGGATGGGGTGACAATGGGTGATCAAGGTTTTACATAGGAAAAATCTTTAAAAAAATCTGATGATGAAGAGCAGCAAAGCCATTGTTAGTCATATTTATTTGGAAGCATCCTCTGGTAGTATATATACTATAATATATGACTCCATACTAGCCCCAGGGGTCTTGATTTGGACAAAGTGGTACAATTCTGACTGCATTGATGTGTAAATGTTATAAATTACTCTATATAAAGAATGCCTGTGTTTGCCATAATGCCTGTGTTTGTTTATCTTCCTTTGAGTATAGGGGGGAAAATGTGTGAAGTGAGGTGCAAGATCACTAAATCTAACTTAATAAGCAAAGCTAAGATGTGTTAAGTTTTTAGCTCACCTCGACGAAGTCGAGATGAGCTTATGCTATACCCCCGGCGTCGGCGTCGGTGTCGGCGTCGGCGTTAGCGTCGGCGTCCCAGGTTAAAGTTTTAGGAGCAAGTCCCATTCCCAAGTAACTATAAGCCCTACCTGGACCAAACTTGCATGGATGATGCATCTAGGGATGGACACTACCACACTTGCTTCGGATGCTGGATCTGACCTAGATTTTCCGGATGAGTGACCAGGTTAAAGTTTTAGGAGCAGGTCCATTCCCAAGTAACTATAAGCCCTACCTGGACCAAACTTGCATGGATGATGCATCTAGAGATGGACACTACCACACTTGCTTCGGATGCTGGATCTGACCTAGATTTTCCAGATGAGTGACCAGGTTAAAGTTTTAGGAGCAGGTCCATTCCCAAGTAACTATAAGCCCTACCCGGACCAAACTTGCATGGATGATGCATCTAGGGATGGACACTACCACACTTGCTTCGGATGCTGGATCTGATGTAGATTTTCCAGATGAGTGACCAGGTTAAAGTTTTAGGAGCAGGTCCATTCCCAAGTAACTATAAGCCCTACCTTGACAAACTTGCATGGATGATGCATCTAGGGATGGACACTACCACACTTGCTTCGGATGCTGGATCTGACCTAGATTTTCCGGATGAGTGACCAGGTTAAAGTTTTAGGAGCAGGTCCATTCCCAAGTAACTATAAGCCCTACCTGGACCAAACTTGCATGGATGATGCATCTAGGGATGGACATGGCCACACTTACTTCGGATGCTGGATCTGATGTTGATTTTCCAGATGTGTACCAGGTTAAAGTTTTAGGAGCAGGTCCATTCCCAAGTAACTATAAGCCCTACCTGGACCAAACTTGCATGGATGATGCATCTAGGGATGGACACTACCACACTTGCTTCGGATGCTGGATCTGACCTAGATTTTCCGGATGAGTGACCAGGTTAAAGTTTTAGGAGCAGGTCCATTCCAAAGTAACTATAAGCCCTACCCGGACCAAACTTGCATGGATGATGCATCCAGGGATGGACACTACCACACTTGCTTCGGATGCTGGATCTGACGTAGATTTTCCAGATGAGTGACCAGGTTTAGATTTAGGAGTAGTCTCGTTCCCAAGTAACTATAAGCCCTACCTGGACCAAACTTTCATGGATGATGCATCTAGGGATGTACACTAACCAACCTGCTTCGAATGCTGGATCTGACCTAGATTTTCCACATGAGTGAATTTTAGCCATATTTTAACCAAATTAGCATGGATGATGTATCTAGGGATGGACACTTCCAGACTTGCCTTGGATTCTGAATCTGAAGTACATTTTCCAGATGAGTGACCATGCAGGGTAATTTTTTGGAGTAGCTATATAATATTATGGCCTGTTATGATTAAACTTGCATAGATGGTGCATCTAAGGATGAAAACTTCCAGACTTGCTTTGGATGTTGGAACTGACCAAAATTTTCTTGATTACTAAACAGGTCAAAAGTTTTTTGAGCAGATCTATAATTAAATCAAACTTGCATGGATATTGATCTTGGGATGTACCCTAACTAGAAAAAAAATATGACGTGAAATTTGCCTTACATGTAGATAACATTCGTCGAGGTGAGCTTCGTAATCTTTGATTACCTATGTTTTTTTTAAATTATGAGCCCTGGGAGAGTTGATCTGAAATAAGAGATCCAGATTTTACATAATGCATGTGTAAAGGAAAAAATCTGATCTGAACTAAACATATTGATATTAAAGTATTAAAGCATCCCAATGTTGCCTGCATTGATTTAACTTTGAATAAATCTTAACTCCTTTAGTTGTAGATTTTGGTCCACAACATGAAGTCAAAATACTACCGGTAATGTCATTTAAGAGGATATTTTTTTTTTTTTGAAAAATGTGGTGGGCCAGAATGACTCAGTTTAGCACTGTGACCCATGGACCTCTTTGATTGATATTTAGTTCTGCACATTTAATAGAATCGGCATAGTTAAAATACTTATTGTGTAGATGGAGTCCAGATCCTACATGCTTAATAGATTGTGACAATCTACATTAATTTCAACAATTAAATTTATTCCAACACTGTGTCGTTGTCCATGCAGGAGAGAAAAACACATTAGAAAAGTCATTAATTTCCAGCCATGGGACATCTTCTTTGCTTCACAAGAGTATTTGTCTTTGAATTCATGACATACATGTTTCAATGACCCATTACATGACAGAAATGCTTAATGGGAATTTGAAAAAAAAAATTTTGTATTAAACTGCATGGGCAGACATTTTTTTGATAAAGTGTACCCCATAATGCATTGCAGGTTGCCACATTTTTGTTATTTGAAGAATTTTTGTTTTTTTTTTTCATTTTTTATGTAATTTTTTAATGGCCGGGATATCAATGGTTTTATTGAGCAAGATTTTAGATGTAGTCTACTGCACATCAAAGACAGCTTCAACAGCTTATTGTGTAAAGTCAAGAAGCCCTGTGTTATAAGATTAAGGCACCTCATCAGGACTAACGAAAAACACATAGGAAATGTCAATAACTTTCTAGGCAAGAAGCCCACTTATCACAACCAATTTCAGTAGCCTCAACCCCTAAGCACATTTGATGGATTTGTTCTCGTAAATCAATATGGGATTAAACGTCCAAATTGATTAAAGTGTAAAATATTAGACCTAGATGCATTATTTAGTTTAAAACCATTGATTATACTTTTTTTGCTGATATCAAATTGACATACCATCTATTAATAAAAATATGGTAGTACTCAAATTACAAAAGATGTAGAAAAAAATTTTGGTTTTGTTGTTGGCTTGAAAACCCTTAAACTGAACTCTGGAGGTTAGTTATTGCATTTGCTATGTATTGATCAAAAAGTTATCTATATAATGTGCACAATTATTTATAGTGCACAATTATTAATCATATTTGTCTGTTACATCTCTGGGGATAGGCTCTGTGACAGATGTCACATTTATTGCCGTATTCTATGCATGGAAATAAAAAAAGAGAATTATTCAGTATTTTTATACCCCCCGCAAACGAAGTTTTGGGGGGGTATAGTGGAATCACCATGTCCGTCTGTCGGTCCGTCTGTCTGTAGACAAGATTTTGTCCTGAATGTTTCTCGGAAATTATTGCATAGATTTGTCTGAAATTTTGTACACTTATTATTCACCATATGAAGGTGTGCACCTGGTATTTTCATCATGATTGAATAATTTTTCTGCATTTTACAGGTGGTTTTTTTTTTTCATTTTTATTATGTGGTTTTGTCCTGACCTTTACTCAAAGACTATTTCATAGAATTGTATGAAAATTTGTACACTCATTATTTACCATACGAAGATGTGCACCTGGTATTTTCAACATTATTTGATAATTTTTCTGCATTTTACAGGGTTTTTTTTTTTTTTATTTTTATTGACCTAGTCATTTTGGGTTTATTTCTAAGGTTTGAGACACAGAATCTAGAACATCTGTACAAAAATGTGAACTACAGATTAAAACTATTCATTAAAACAAAAAAAAAATCACCAAGTATTAAAAACAATTCTTACATTACACAGCAGATAGTGTAAATCCATTTGTCCCTTGGGACTAATGAGTGGACATCATCCAGTTAGAGATAAATTAATGAGTTCAGTGTGGGAAGTTGTTAGGGCATCTCTGATCAAGCATGTGTTATCTATATCTCCTGGGAATTTAAAGATCTCTGTTCTTTAATTCTCTTAATTGTAATTTATTGTCTGTCATAGTACATAGTTACTGGATGACCAGCCTTTCATTTTTAAAAAGAATTTGATATAAAGTTATCAAGATTAATTTGATTTTGTAATTCATTGATTTTTTTTCAACAACCAATGCAGAATGTCATGTCTCAAAAAGATGACAGATAGTTGCAATTTATTTTTTCAATGTATTAAAAAGCAATGTAACTACAATGTATTGGTATTGATGTTTTATTAGGTTGTTCCTTGGTTTCATTCATTAAAAAAAATATAATGAGCAATTATTTTTTCACTCTAAATGTTAATAAGAAAACACCTCTTAGATCCATAAAATATTAGTGATTTGGCACCTTTGAAAAACCCAGTGGGGGGTATTTGTCCCTTTTGGACAGTTCTAGTAACCATCATTTTATTTTGCTTCACAGCAAAAATCAATGTTTATCTTTAGTTTTTGCATATAAGAGTACATAATGCATGTAGATAGTATAAGTTCACATATTATTTTAAGATCTTTATTGGTTTGTTTCAGGTTCTATTCTCAGCGAAATGGCCACACGGAAAATTATTTCAGCTGATACAGGCTTTAAAGGGACACAACTCAAGCTCTCTTTGATTCTGGAAGGAGGGCAAGTGGTAGCATTCAAACCTAGATGGTAATTTACAAAAAATAAATTGAGTATAAATAATTTGAAACTTTGATTATATTTTATTTCCCTCCAGATATTGAAGAGCAATTAAATTATTTGTTATTAATTTGAAAAATGAAAATGTTAAGTTTCTTTGTTTAGTAGTCACTGAAAACAAAATTGCCATATGTTCATGAACATATGACAATCTCTTTGTCATATGTTCATTGATTGTCATATGTTCATTGAATGTCATATGTTCATTGATTGTCATATTCATTGATTGTCATATGTTCAGATATTGTCATATGTTCATTAATTGTCATATTTTCAATAATTGTCATTTGTTTATTGATTGCCATATGTTTCATTGATTGTCATATGCATGAAAGGAAGGAGTTTACAAAGTTTTCTTTTGAAATATTTCAGGTACAGGAGGGAGGACATTTTCACAGAGACCCCATACTCTGGTGCTGACAGACATAATGGTGAAATTGCAGCTTTCCATCTCAATAGGTAAATGTAATTAACTACAGTATCATCAATAAGTAATTACCCTAGAGCACTTAGTGCCACTTTATTGAGTTTTGTACATAAATCATGGGTAGTACTACCTTTTTTATGAAGATTGGAGACTCCTGTTGTAGTTAATGAACTTTTTTATGATCCAAATGTTGCGGACATTTCACTTCTTGTTAGCTTTTGATATAGAGTTATATGTTTTAAGAAAACAGAATGACTTGTTAGGAAATGTATCTAGCAGTATCCTTCAATGATGTACCTCTCAATAAGGAGCTGTAATGGTAATATTTTGATAAGCTTATTGAATACAAGCTTTGAATCATAATATTTTTGCATTCATTTGCATGTGTCAGAGATCACAAGAGATGTTCAAAGATCTTTGTGCATTTATATGAAAATTTGTAGATAGTGTGATGTATGACACTGTACAATGCAAATAGGGTAGTGATTATTTAACACTTATACTGTATTTATATTCTTTTTTTAACCACTTGATGTATAAAAGCTATATTTTATGTAGTCTTTTTTAAAATTAATTTTTTTTTTTCAGTTTGTCTTAATGATGTGTTTCAAGTGTTTAAATGTTATTATGAAATCATATTTGCACAGCAATGACACTTGATTTGAAATTTAATTTTTTTAGAAAAAGTTATATCGGGGAAATATTTGTGGAATTGAAGAATTAAAAAAATATATTGTCAAGGAAAAAAACAAACAAAAACTGGATTACAAATATGATTGTATGCATTTTCAGAATCTTGGAGTTTAGACGAACACCTTTGGCAATTGGCAGAAAGATCAATTTGAAAACAGAAATTATTCCAAATGGATCAGAACAGCTGCTGAAAACATTTTTTGTAAATGGTATAGGTATATTTGGTCAGTTATTAGAAAAGACATACATCAGCATTGTAAGTTTTCCATCTCTAATTGTTTGTTGTATTGTCATTGCATTTGAAAGAATTTTGTGACAAATGTTTAGGGTATACAGAAAACACTTTTGAAAAGAGAAGAGATGCTTGACTTATAATGCAGTTTATGAGCAATATGTGAACTGAATACATTATCAGCTCACCTGAGCTGAAAGCTCAAGTGAGCTTTTCTGATCACATTTTGTCTATAGTCCATATGACTATCCGTCCATCCATCTGTCTGTAAACTTTTCACATTTTTTACTTCTTCTCCAGAACCACTGGGCCTATTTCAACCAAACTTGCCACAAAAGATCCTAGGGTGAAGGGGATTCAAGTTTCTTCAAATGAAGTCCCACACCCTTATTCAAGGAGAAATAATCAAGAAATAGTGAAAATTTGGTGGTACATGTATCTTTTAAAAATCTTCTTCTCAAGAACCACTGGGCCAAAAATGTTGAAACTTATGTGAAACCTTCCTTACATAGTGTAAATTCAAATTTGTTCAAATCATGATCCCTGAGGGTAGGGTTGGGCTACAATGAAAGATCAAATTTTTACATTGGAATACATAGGAAAAATCTTTATAATTCTTCTTCTCAAAAACAGCAGAGCCATGGTTGGTCATATTTATTTGGAAGCATCCTCAAGTAGTGTGGGTTCAGATATGTTCAAATCATAACCCCAGGGGTAGGGTGCATGGGGCCACAATGAACAAACAAAGTTTTACATAGGAAAAATCTTTAAAAATATTCTCATGAACAGCAAAGCCATGATTATTAGTCATATTAATATATATGTAGAAGCATCCTCAGGTAGTAAAAATTCAAGATTGTTCAAATCATGCTTCCCCCTTCATGGGTAGGTTGGGACCACTTATAATAAATCTAATGAACCTTTTTTTAAATACTGAACTACCCAAAGTGCTCTGGTGAGCTATGTGGACCATGGGCCTCTTTTTACATGCTTATGTTGAAGTGCTAGAGTTGAACAGTTTTGTTTCATTATAAACAAAGTTTGTTATATCTTATGTATTTATTGTGTGTTTTAAAACTACAGGATTGGAAAAACACTTTAAGTGTGAATTCATTATAAGTTTGTTGGCTCTAACCATGTTTTACTGTATTGGTATTTCAATATTTCACTCTTGCAGGTTCTAACACTTGTTTTTATGGTAAATGTTACTACTGTAAAGGGGAGGAAACCGGAGTGTGTGCAGAGGGGGACGTACTAGAGGGGACCGTAATACTGTGGCTTCCAAAATCCTTCCCCCTCAAAACTTACAGACACCCCTGGGCAAGAACTTACCGCTCTGGGAAACAAGCACAGTAAGTCTAAACTGTGTTCACCTGATACATGTATGTTTTGTATTTTGAAATGCAATGTACTAATGTTAAAGATACAGGTGCGTAAATCAAAAGAGGTCTCTGATTACAATAACTTTTTGGTTGACTAGGCATGAAAGAATCACTATTAAATTTTGGACCTTTTTTGGAGAGAACATGCAGTTTCATATTGATTGCATGGCATGGCTCTACAAGTCTAAAACTAATTTCAGGAAAAGAATATGTTTGCTGTCATTTCTTTTAGAGTCATTTTTGCCCAGTCACCCCTTTGACTTTTTTTACGTATCTTAGACTATGATATGCACACAAAAGTATGCATTCTCTAATTTTTTTCTCTGCCTCCAAACTCCTGAATAATTTGTTTAACTTTGACCAGGGATGTTTGTGATTTATAATCCAAAGAGACCATCAGAATCTTTAATCTTTAAGAATAAGCACTTGCTCGAACAGCTAAACTTAATAATTTAAACTTTTTCTTAAGATGGGAGAAGGATCCAAATTACTGCAGTGCTGTAAAATCCAGTCCAATATATGGTCATGGACCCAGACTTTTTGATTTGATTGACACAGCTGTCTTTGATTTTCTGATCGGAAATGCTGACAGACATAGATATGAAACCCTTGGAAATCAATTAGAATCAGTCTTTCTAATTCTTGACAATGGAAAAAGGTATATTTTGAAACTTTGCTTTCATACCAAGAAATTTTCACTTGTTCTTGAAATAAAGAAAGGAAGATAATATGAAGATGAGAGTAATTTTCTTTGGCATTGTTAATATTTTACAAAAATCTCTAGAACATACATTCTTTTCAGCTTTGGAAATCCTTTCCATGATGAAATCTCAATATTAGCACCTCTATACCAATGCTGTGTGTAAGTTCATTTATATTTACCGGTATATTTTCTTGTGTGTTGATCTACATGTATTATACATGTACTTGTAATATTAATTATTGGCAATTTTAAGATCGATGTACGTACCATCTCAATCCTTTTATAGGTTTCAGTACTTTAATTATTCAGTATCACCCGTACAGTTCTTCTAGGTCTGAAATGCTCAATATTTTCTTGAATTAGTGTTGAGAAATATCTGCAATTTTTGCAACCTTGTATTATACTCGCATCAAACTATTTATTTCGTAGTGTATCTACCGTATGTACAATATTTCCTCAGTTTTGAAAATTAGTCAACACGTGTAGATTTCATACTGACAAATTGTGAATAAAAGTTGTCACAAATAATAGTTGGTTTACAGTATTGTTAAATAGGGGAGGAAAAAAGTTTAGGCTTAGTTTAACAAGTGGCAGTGGTGTCAATTTTTCTCTGACTTTGGCAGAAAGCAAAATTGATCAAGGGTGTTTTACCAATCTAGAAATAGGAAAATAGATTGTCAGATGCAATATAATTCAAAATATTTGGAAATAATGAAATTAGGATATGATCATTTGAAAATCTCAAGAACCACTTGACCAAAATGTCAAAAGTTATTTAAAAGCTCTTATAAATAAAAAATTAAAAGTTGGCTGAAATCTGACCTAATGAACCGGTAGATTAAATGTAAAGATATTTTCTTCTCAAAATGAAGGGGCAGTTATTCTTAAACATTGTAGATTTGGCTTTGCACTTGTAAAAGGCCATAGAATAAAATAGATAAATAAAAAAACTGAACATAATCAAAAATTCAGCATGAGAATATTATGCAGTTTGTATATAGTAAGAATAACAAGACTACAAAGAACTATAAGCTTATGTCTGTATGAAAACATCCTCATGTAGTGTAGATTAAACTTTTTTTTCCTCTCAGTATTGGGGCAATTTAGTTGACTCACAGCTAAGCCTATTATTTAAATATTGTTTCTGCTTTCTTTAGAATCAGGTATGATACCTACAACAGACTACTCACCCTCAGTGATGGAATTTTAAGCCAAGTTCTAAGGAATGTGTTAAAGCAGGATCCAATTTCCCCTATATTGACTGAGGAACATTATCAGGCTCTGGACAGAAGACTGAAGATTGTTTTGGAGAAAATTAAAACTTGTCTTGACAATAAGCAAGAAAACAGAGTTCTAGTGAGAGATAGAGGCTCATGATGACAGTTTTTCTTAGGTCATTTTTTTTTATTTTTAGGTCACCTGAGTCACTCAAGTGTCATATTAAGACCCATTTTCCTTCCATCATTGTTAGAAGATTTTAATTTTTTCTTTATCTTAAAAAAAATTGTTTTCACTCCTGGACATCTTGTAATACCATATAGCGGGGTGCATGTATTTTTAGCGGGGTGCTGACTTTGGCTTATTTTAGAGGTTTTGTTTGAAGCTGCTAAAATTTTGATTGCCAGATTTGCACTCTTCTTTATCACTACTGAATACAAGGAAAATCACTTAAATAACTTTGATTAGTCTATTGTATAAGCAATATAACTTGACATATTCATGTCCATTGGGTCCAGTATTAATGTCCTAGTGTACAGCTAGATTTATCAAAGATGTCCATTTTTACAAAAAAAGCATTACATCTTAAGAACTCTCTTTTGACTTCCTGGAACATCAAAGAGACTAGTTGTTTGCATGCTAGATATGAAAATGACCTCTGCAAAATTGGGTCATTCATATCCTTTCAGTCAAAGAACGGGGCCCAAGGATGAAATTTAGCTGATTATCTAAATGGAAGTGCATTTAATCAATTAAAATCCTCTTTTTTGCTCCTGGGCATATAGCAGGTGAGCTTTATGATTTGCAATATATTTGATGTATAAGCAAAAAAGTCTTCAAGCAACAATGGTCTCAATCCAGAGTTCAGCCCCCTGGACGAGGCTATGTTGATGGTTGATTACATAATGAGGTGATGATTAACAGCAATTTTTTATTACTGTCAGAATGATAAGTCAATTATTCAGAAAATGGTTTTAAAAAAATGTTAAATCAGGATATGACTGGAAAGCTCATTTATGATGTTTGACATGAATGGAAAAGTGAATGAAGTTCAATTTTTGTAGTAATTTTTGTTAAATTTGATTTTTTGCACACTAAAATATCATTAGCAGTTTTTGGTGTCTGCTTACTTTTTTAAGAAATTCTCATGATAGACTTCTGTTTTTAGACAGATATTAGTACATGTACTGAAAACATACTTAATTTTGCAGAAATCATATTTTAACTCTTTTAGTGCAACATCTTGTCTGTTATTATATATGATTAAATCAAAAACATATAGAAGCTTTGCTTCAAATATTAATTTACGATTATGCTAACTAGTTTATGAGGAAGATTGCGCTAAATTTTTAGTGCATAGATGTTCAAATTTGAATGAAAAAATTAGGGGGGGAATTTCAGTTTCAATATATGTTTTACCATGTGTTTATATTCACAGTTATGGGCATTTTAGTTCTTTTTACTTTATTTTTGAAGACTGTTATATTTATACCTGTGTTCACTTTGCTGTTCCAAGTAAGTCTAGTCACAATCTTCATATCATCTTTTCATGAATTGTTTTTTTCCCTTTCGAGAAAAGCAAATATTTGTGGAAGAGGTTCATTTATTTCTTATTCAGTGTCGTTAATAACCAGTTTAAAGCTTTTCTCTTCATTGATGAAAAAAAACCTCGTATTATAATTATCATCGTTTGGTTATTTTTTTTATCAATGAAGAGAATGGTTTAAAACGTCAGGTGCCTGTATGTTGTTAGTGTTGCCTGAATGCCTGTGTTTTCGTCTGGTCTATTATTTCTTCTCGTAATCATATCTTAAGGTAGCTAGTCCAAGAGTTCTCTTCTGACGAGCTGTGGTGTTTAATTAGTTCCATCTGTGATTTGTATGGTTTGTTTAGAGCATTCAAAGCAAAATTCATCACATTTCCTGAATGTCAAAGCAGTTTGGAAAATATTTTCTTCATCGTACTTCTCGACTTGAATTTGGTGAGAACCATATTATTTAAAATATTTAGTATATGATTTTAAAAAACCTCAAGAAACCATATGCATGGATGAATCGTGCTTTGTTCATCTTTTGAGTGATATAAAGTAAAACAAGCTTATAATGAATTGACACTTACAACAAAGTGATTTTCATTCCCCTATTTTGATTTTTCATTTATGACTTTTAAACATACAGTAAAGTTAATGGATGAATGACTTTAAAACATAGTACAGTAAATAAACTAAATGGATACATGTTTTTGTTTGTTTGTTGTTTAACGTCCCAACACAAGGAATTAGGCTTACAATGAAGCAAAATTATCCGTCCCTGGCACTTCTTAATAAACATGGTTAAATTATATCTTATTTATCAGCATGAATTTCTGCATAGCTTGTTTGAATCTTTTATGCATGGTAGTGTTTTACAAACTGTCAGAAACTTGTTTTCATTTTTGAGATCAGTTGTATGCAATGTTAATGAGTTAAAAATCAAAGAACCAAATGTACTGAAAAGTTTTTAAGATGCATATCACTTTGAATGATTTGGGTATTTTAAAGTTGTACATATAATGGGTGCACATGTATAAAAGTAGTGAAAACTGTTTTGTGTCATAGAGAATATGCTTCTTTGGGGTTTTTTTCTGTATCAGTAATTGTGCCAAATTATAAATGTTTAGTAATTATTAAAAAAAAAAGTACTGTACTGATATGCATCATTATTTAAAATGTAAAATGTCAGAAGTGATGTTTTGTTTTGTCTCCAGATTTGTTCAGGTGACCTATTGCCTTCTGTTTTCATCCATATCATTGATATATTTTCATCTATGTCATTCATACCAACTTCTTTTCTGAACCTGCTGAACAATTTTAATTTTGATATCATTTGATTTTGCATGTACAGTAAAGGGGGAACAAAATTGTTTAATTTTTTGTTCCTTCTCATCCAAAGGATTTGTCTTCACACTGCACCCTGCAGCGTCAACGACGAATGAGTCTTCAACCAGAATCCTGAGCAAAAGAGTGAAGCCCCAGCACTGGCTAAGTTGAGATCATATTAGAAATGTTTTAATCATTTACAAATCTTCTTAAATCTTCCAGACTTATACAGCAAGGATACCAGTGGTTCTATTAAACATTGAGCTTTTGTTCCATAAGAATTTCAAGAACCTTGTAAAAAAGGCTTGTTTGTGACATAAAGTTGGCTTATATGCTGCCATTAGACATTTTCTGCATGATACTTAGATCCCTTTCCAGACCTTTGTACCCTAATTGGTTAGAAAGTATATGTGTGGTAAAACTTTTGAGCATTCATAGCTTTTTTTGGGGAATTTGCAGTAATTAAAATTGAATTGAACAGTTTTGGTACACAACTTTCTCCTGCTCTCCATCTACTGGTGTAGGACAATACTCTCTTGTGAATGTAGAAGGCCAGAGATCTTCCTGCTCTCTCTTTTACCACAATATATGAAGGTAAAAGTGTGGAAAATCAGAATAAATGATGACCACCCTTTTCCATGTGACAGGTCCTTACAAATCAATTTCAGTTTGGAGGGAACAACCGAACTTAAAATGTCATGTTAAGCAAACTTTACCAGAAATTCTTTGACTCACAAAAAAGTCATGATGTTATTGAGGGGGCACATGTAAAAAAAGCATTGTTTTCTATTGTACAGTATATACTGGAAAAATATGAGGGGATGCTCCCCACCCCCACCTCCAAGTTTCTATGGGCCAGCATGAAGTGGCAGGATAGAAATACAAAGATGCCTTAAATGGTACACAGCACCATAAATGGCCCTTTTGTTATGGAGGTTACAGAGTGGTTTCTGAGAATGTTCTTTTACACTAAGGATGACTGATTCTCTAATTTTTCACCATAGAAAGACATTGACTTGCAATTTGTTTGATCTATTTCAACATACCTACAATGTGCCTGGAATGTCCTCACATTCAAACAAGTAAAACTGAAAGAATGGGATCTGTTTAAAATAGCCATGTGATTATATTTAATAAAACACATTTTGTTCATCAGTATGATATATATGTACAGTTATTTTGATTTTACTTTCTTCCTGCACCACTTCTATCACATTAAAAATGTATATTTTGTATTTTTGTTACTGCTGGTCTGGCACATACAGATTATCTGGGACTATATTTTTGTTACACTGGCTAGATGAACAACAAAATGTGCAGGTGAAATATTGCGCGGTATAACTTGTGGGATCATATCCGGAACACTCTTGCCTGTCCGAGGTCTGGTCCCACCACTTAGTTTTACACTCATCTTTTGTCGCACATCTGAAACAAATATGGCCAAAACATTTGAGATTGCTCATAAAAACACCTAAAATTTCAAGGATGAAAATAAGTTTGCTGTACATGGCTAAATATGTTAACTTAAAAGATTTACTTCAGTCCTTTCATTTTAGACTAGGCTGGGGTAATGTAAAAAAAAAAACACTACTACAGAACCTTTTGACCAATAATGGATTCCATATTTAATGTGTATATAAAATTGGATATTGGAAGACTAATTATTATTACAGTCACATTAATCCAGATGCTTGTTTTCCCGGACAAAGGAAGAGTGCACATTACTGAAACATACTTGGTAATAAATATAAATTGTTCCCAACAAACTTCATTGGGAAGGTGAAGCATCCAATTAATTGGCATCTGGATAATGAGTCTCCGCTGTAGTTGTGTTATAAATAGCTATGTTGTATTGACTTAGGAAAAACTGCGTAACATTCTAAGTTTAAAACTGAAGCTTGTGCTTGTTTACTGGGTATTGGTGTAGTGAGAAGATCTTTATCTGCCAAGCACATTTTCAGAACTTCTAGGAAAATTCTTTCCAAGCATATGTGATGAAGTATATTAAATTTCCTTACTTTCTGTCTAGTGTCCGTGATCCGTCTCTGTTGTTGACGAGAATATTCAAGCAGTATTGTTGATCACTTGTATCACACTGTAGAGGGGTGGAGAATTGTTCACAAATGTAGATGGGCATGCCATTGCACAAATAACAGGAAGCTGAAATGTAAAACATCATGATAAATCGTCTTCTTATGCCAAATATCAACTAACATTTTTCCATAAATGAGTTACTGAAATTAATGCTTGTGACCTTGAGTCAGGTTCATGACACATTTTTTTCTAATGTGGTTCATTGTTGTTTATTTCAAAAGCCATAAGAAAGATAATTTGGACAGATAACAAGACAAAGACAAATCTCCACTCTCCCCCTCCCAATCTTTGATCTCAGGGGCAGAAAATACAAAGAGAAAATTAAGGCACCCAGAATGATCACTGCATTCTTTGTAGTTTGTATTTTTGCGACATACTTGGTGCTTTTGGAGTTGTTGTGGTGGGTGTTGTCGTTGTTGTGGTGGGTGTTGTTGTTGTTGTGGTGGGTGTTGTCGTTGTTGTGGTTGGTGTTGTTGTGGTGGTGGTGGGTGTTGTGGTAGGTGTTGTTGTTGTCGTCGGTATTGTTGTCGTTGTCGTCGGTTTTGTTGTTGCTGTTGTCAGTGTTGTTGTAACTGTTGATGTTTCAGTTGATGGTATTGGTGGTGGTGATGTTACAGTAGTTTGTGTTGTTGATGTAGTTTGCGATTCGGTTGTCAATTCTGTTGATGTTGTGCTTGCTGTTGTTGTTGGTACTGTAGTCGGTGTTGTGGCTGGTGTCGATGTTGTTGTTGATGTTGTGCTTGATGTCGATGCTGTAGTTGCTGTCGTTGTGATTGTTGTCTTTGTTGAAGGAGTTGATTTTAGAGGTGTTGTAGGTTTCGGTGTTGTAGATTCTGTAGTCGGCAGAGTGGTTGTTGTTGTTGTCATTGGCAAGGTAAAATTTATGAATGGTGTAGTGGTTGTTGCTGTTTTTTTTTAAAAATTGATAATTCTTATTGAGTCAACGTCTCCATTAGCGAAAGAAAATATTCGGATAAACATATACATAATTTTCAAACAGTGATTTGATTTTTTGGAATGTTGGCTAGTGTACTCACGACATACGTAACTATCGGGCAGTGAGATTAATTCTTCTGGAGTGTCTGAAATCAAAACAAGATTTTATTGCCATATTATACTTTCTTCTATTAAGAAATATCAGATAATGAACAATTAAAGTAAATTATGATGATAATGAAAAATGTATAAAGGGTTTTCAGTGGCATATATATATATATGTAATCCTTTCTGATCATTTGTTCACTTATAAGAAGTCTTAGGCTCTTCTGAGGCGCAAAGTACCAAATAAGGGCTGAGTGCAGAGAGATTCGCCCTCTCCCGAAGGGAGAAAAAATTTAAAAGAATTTAAAACATGAAATTGCGTGATTTTTAACACACCCTTAGAAACGCTACGTACTCTTTCAATTCGAAAAATTACTATTATTAAATATCATGTATCTGGACTTTCATGTGCTAAAGAAACTACTCGAAACAAATTACAACTTCAAAACAATTAACTCGACAGAATGTGAGGCGGTTTCTTTTCTACATCAACAGATTTTGCTGGGATGTATGTCTGACATTCTCTATTTTCATATAAAATTTAATAATGTGATATTTTTCTGCACAATGTTTAATAAAGAACAGTGAATATACTTTCGTTTTATTTCTAAAGCTTTCATCCATCCAATTCTTTTCGAGATGTACATTCTCGGAAACAGAGACACATTAAAAATTATACTAGTGTTAGAGATCTGTGCTTTCTCTCTCTCTCTCTCTCTCTCAAATCAAAAATGATTTTTCAAAATCAGTAATTCAAACGTAATTCATGTACATAATAGTATGAGAAAGAAATGGTTACAAAGCCCTGTCAATTTGAAAACGGATATGCAAAAATGTAAGCTCCCCCACCCCATTCACAAGAAAAATAGAATAAAGGTAGTGTAAATTAATCAAATGTTGGTTTACACTCTTCAGACCAACCTTAAATGTTACCGCCAACCTTAATTATATAACATCCTTTCACATAAATAAAAATTGGGAAAAAGAAAGATTGTCACACTTTCGAAATATTTGTAGTTAATTAAAAAAAGCAAATTTGGCTAGACGTCGGAATTAGTTTTTATTAAAACGGAATCCTTTTGTTTTCATTTCCTTTGCATCCCCCCCCCCCCCCCCCAATGAAAAGGATTAAATCTTATGAGAGGGTGTGTAAAAACGACAAACACCAGTACGTGACAAACTAAAATCGGTGCTCTAGCCTCTTTCTCAATATATATACAGGCTATTAAAAATGTATAAAATATACACGTCAATGTCGTTTTTGTCTTAAATAATTGACATGAAGTCTTATGTACATGGAATTATAATTGCCTTTTATGTTCTCATAATAATTTCTGTTGATTATGCGTTTTTTACACATTAATTTTATATATATATATATATATATATATATATATATATATATATATATATATATATATATATATATATATAATAAGCAAAAACACGCGGAGAGAAAAAAAACTAGTATTTTACACTAATCATATGCACTGTTACCGTTTTCTTTTGAATATAAATAATTCTTCCTTTTTCACAGTATTTTTTCTAGTGAGTCAAACATATATGCGATCGATTTAAATTTAAAAAAAAATTTAAAAAAAAAACACTTATTATTTTTATGCATCGCCATGAAATGCCGGGGCATATAGTGTTACCCCTTTTCGTTCGTCATTCCGTCGATACAGTAAAACTTGTTTTAGTCCGAATATAGCGAAGTTACGGAAAAAGCGAAGTTTTGGGGGATCCCGAGCGGAATTCCTAACAATTCTTTGTATTTTATGGTTATAACGAATTTCTGATATAATGAATTTACGGATATAGCGAATTGATTTTGTGTCCCAGAAGTAAAAAAATAACGAAAAGCGAATATTTAAAAGATCACTAATTATATTGAACTGACATTATTTTTTGTAAGTAACTAAGTATATTTATATTTAAAATCAATTCATTGAAAACTTTCATACCCCAGTGTAAGTTTTGTATTTAATAATTCCCAGAACATATTGGATAGTCATAATTGAAGGAAAACATTATTTATTGCGAATTCGCTGCATGTAACAAATTCGTTATACGGATATAACGAATAACGTATATATATAGCTAAGTAAATTCACAGATCCCCAGATCTTTGCTATAACCGGGTTTTACCTTATTTAGTTTTCTGGACTTTTTTTGAAAAAAAAAAATTATTTTATTCTATATTTATTTATTTATTAAATAAAATTTATTTATTTTTATTTATTTATTTGTTGTTTTTGTTTATTTGTTTTTGTTTTGTTTTGTTTTGTTTGTTTGTTTGTTTTTGGTTGTGCTGTGTTTAAAGATAACGAGCTGATTTTTTGTCTGTGGATTAATATTGATGACTTTTAGGTTTAAGATTCGTGTTGATTGACCCAATTTTACAAAAGTTATGACCTTACACTAAAAATGCCTAATAATTTAATGTTTTTCGGACCTTCTTCGATGTGCTTGAAGATAATTAGCTGATTTTAATATTTCTTGATATTACTGACTCACAGTTCGAGTTTTGAGTTGATTGGCCCATTTTTACGAGTTGATGGAACATCAACTCAGTTACGCTCTTACTCAGATTTCCTGCATTGAATCCAAAGAACACAGCTCATTTATTTAGTTCCTTCTTCAATAATTTATCTTTGATTTTGAAAAATTCAACATAAATGAAAGCGAACATATTTTTTCTACACAATTATTTTATGCATGCATAATCTACTGGTAACAAATTATTAAAATGAATAGAAACTTTGTATACATTTTAAAGTAAATTAATTAATATCTGTCTATGCAAAATGCTTACTTGAAAAAAGAGGCTTGTTAAAAAATTACCTACCATTAAATGTTGACAAATTTTGTCCAGACTGGCTGAGAATTTGAGAATTTAATTTTAGAGCTAAATAATTGTATTTTGTCTAGTTTTTAAATGAGTAAAGCATGAAAAAAAAGACATTTCTTAAATTTCACAACAAGAGGGAATTCCAAAAATTCTGGAAATTAAGAAAATTAAACTTAATCAAATATTTAATATTAAATCAACAGTTGTATATATATACAATGCTATGTACCTATCAGATCCTTGATTTTACTTTTGTAGAAGCATAAACCACAAAAGGCAGTGCAAAAGAGATGGTCATTGCTTTGTGCCTTGGAAGATATTTATAAACCTTTTGTTGAAGAACTGGTATTTCTAACATAGATGTATCGAAGAATTCAGCTGTCAGTGTTTTGTATGTTGGAGGACAACCACCCCTTGATTTCAGTGTGAAGAGGGTCCATCTTTATGATAAGGACTTTTCCCTTTTATAAATATTCTATGTAAAAATTTATTTAATATCAGCTTATTGTGTTTTTCTTTTGAAAGAAAATGACTTTCGTCAGCCATGTACCTCAAATCACTTGACACTATTTTAATGTTTGGTGCTGTAATATATTCCAGGTTTAAAATACATGTATCAACAGATACAGAATGTTTAGATTTTGTAATATTATCATTATCACCTTCTCATTTAGAAATACAGATTTAATCATCAAGCTCCAACGTTTGATTACTTTTACTAATGGTGTCAGGTTAATTTTTCCCTGTTCCTTTTAAACATGGTATTAGGTCCATAACACTGATTTTTAGAATTGCCTATTTGTTATAACTTAAACTGAATTTAATTCTACGAAGTTCATAATGTGTCACTGTCACAGGACTTTAAAATCTGCAAAAGTTTGTGTTGATTATAATAGTTTGACCCTGTGTTTCATGATTGTATCATAACTTTGATTAGTGTATCATTTATTTGTAAATCTGAAACCTGGATGCTGTATAAAACTTCTGGTATTAAGATGATATTTTTTGTTTTTGCTTTCTATATTTGAAAATGTTTGTGTCAAATATGAAATATTTACAGACAAAAAATATGACATTGACTGTCTAAAAATTCATTCTCTTGTACTGTTTATTGGCTTACTACACTTCAAACTGGAAGACCAGAGTAATGTTTTAACAATTGACATTTTTATATGAGGTATAATACTAGTCATTAATTATAAAAAAAAATATAAAAGGAATACTTGCTGCATACACACTAAGGAATGTCAAAAATTGTGGTTTTAATATACTTTATGATAGTTGTGCAAGTACATTTCATTTGTTAAAATAAGACAGCAATGCTCAATAAATGTATAACTTGTATATCTATACTGTAAAAAAGTAAGAAATATTGTTTTCTTATATTATCACAAAGTATTGTTTGTTAATTGAATTTTAAAATGCATTGCATCATGTTATAAATTGACATCAGAAATAAAATGGAAATTTTAATTTCTTTTTCTAAAGAGACACTTCAATTTTTCATCACTAAAAGCAATACCCATTAGCTAAGCTTGGACAACCATCAACTCGTATCAGTACTTTCAGTACTTTGATTATGAAAAGGAATTGCCCTTACACTTTGCAAATTTCTAGTAATTCACAGTATTTCGGATTTTTTTTTATTGTTGTGCTAATAGATAATGAGCTGATTTTGGTATATTTAATACAATCATGTCAACAGTTTGACTGCTTTGTGGCAACGCACTTTGAAAAGATTACGCATTTTGAAAAAAAAAATCAAAGTGCATTAAAACTGGGACATTGAAGAAAATTTTCAGAGTGCGTTTTGGAGCAAAATAAATGCACTTCCAATTTTTTTCAAAGTGCGTTAAAAGTGTACATCAATATATTTTACCATGGAGACACTTAAAGCACTTTGAAAAAAATATGTGTAAAACAAAAATCTCTGGACTTAGATTTTAGTAAAAGTCAGCATTTTTTGTTATATTTCTTTCGAAACACTGATGATTTGATCTACCCTCATCGAGAACGAGGAGAAGACAGGTAGAAGGCCCCTCAGCCTTACTCTTTATTTTTCCTATACCCAAATATATGTATACATAACTGGTATGACATTTATATACTTTCTCACAATATATTCGAGTTAACTTAAAATTGAGGTAAGCTTTCCTGAAAAAAATTACGCACCTTATGATGTTAAAAGAAGAAAGGCTCAGGGGTCATATCGCTGATCTAAGCAACGATAATCAAAGTACATGTTGCTTTACCAAATCAAATGCAATTCAAAAAATTGTATAAAATGCATAATAATTTGTCATACCTCTTAATACATGTACTAATCAAAGAACTGTAGAAAAGCTAGGTCATCATATATTGTGCGGGAATAAACAATTTTTCATACCTCTAAATTCTTATCAAATAACTATTATAAAAATGCGGGAAAATTATTTTCAATGAGCATACAAGCTTGCATGGTCCCTATTTTGTCGCATATCTCGTACCCTAAAGGTCATATTGTAAAATTCTAAATACAGTTAAAAGTATAAGAAAGTCCTTAGTAAATGGAATTTTAGTTCTTTTAAAATTGAAATTCCTTTAATGTTCATTGTCATAAAAATCAAATAATTAATCACATTTTGTTCAAAGTGCGTTAATATGGTTCCAATTTAAACGCACTTTGAAAAGATTTTTCATAGTGCGTAATTTTTCAAAGTGCGTTGTAACACTGCCTGATGTCCAGGAGTGAAGAAGAATATTTTTAAAGATTGCATCGATTTTGATGCTTTTAACTCCACCCCTCAGACTCCGGGGAGGGAGGGGGAGGTTAGGGCCATGAAATTCACAATCTTTGTTCCCCTTTACTCTTGGATGTTATGTGCCAAAATTGGTTGAAATTGCTTTAGCGGTTCCAGAGAAGAAACTGAAAATTTTCAAATGTTAACGGACGACTGATGAAACAAAAAGCAATAGGTCACATGAGTGACTCATATGCCGACCTAAAACAGACAGACTTGTAGGTAAGGCCGTTCTAAGTTTCCCCCCGATGTTTAGTGCCCACGGACGGATTGGATATTTGGAACGCATATTTCTCTTGGGATCGGCATCTTATTTAAGTTTTGTACCAAAGATTTAATAATGTACGTTTAGTTATTTTTTTAAATTTTGTTACAATGTGAAGTAAATTCCCAAAAGAAATTTTATAATTATTCTTATAATGTTGAAGTTCCTTTTCCTGATGGTTTATATATATATATATATATATTTTTTTTTTTTTTCGGGTAGAAAGATAGGTTTTTGATTTTAGGGTAGGCGCTAAAAATTGATTTAAAAAAAACATGGTATGGCCTAAAGAAAACATTGGAAGGTAACACCTGTTATGTGTATTATATATGATATCTAAGCAGTTACGATATACTTTATTTGTTGTTGACAAGATAGTGGTCAACAGTAAAATGGTCTTTTAGTGATCGCTACTTACGAACTGGTCCACCAATTTCAAACGTATTACAGTAATCATCATCGCAACACTCTGCTCCTATCTGTATCAGGTTGTGACTACGACGATAACGCGCGAGTGACCTAAAAATGGAGGGAGGAGGTGTCAGTTCAACGACTTTCTTTGTGGTGGTAGTGGTGGTAGAGATGGTGGTATTATGTGGTTCTTCAGTTGTAGTAGCGACTGTTGTGGTGGTAGTGGTTGGAATGGTGGTAGAGATGGTGGTATTATGTGGTTCTTCAGTTGTTGTAGCGACGGTTGTGGTGGTAGTGGTTGGAATGATATTGTGTTCATGAACAGCCTTGCACAGCTAAACAAAGGAAATGTACTTTGTTAGTGGGATGTTCTCTAACATGAATGCGATTTGTTATATTTATGGTTATCCATTTATTGACGAATTCAAACTAATTTTTTTAAGGTTATGGGTATTTTGGTAGTTCTCAGTTTTTGCTTGCATTGCCTTAAAAATAATCTTGATTAAGTTCTCTTACAACGCAAAATGTAATAAACTTGGATAATTACAGTCGTGTCGAGATAAACGTATCTAATGTTTTAATTACGCAAAATGTAACAATCCAAAAGGTGTGTTATAACATTTTGCGTCCAAATTGACGCAGGATGCAATAACTCAAAGAACCAGGAGGTCAACATTACCGCTACATTGTGAAAAATTTCGACTCATTACTGCTACATTTCTTCGAAATTTCGGGTGACATTACCGCTACATTTTATCAAAAAGATTATTGCCGATTACAACTCATTACCGCTACATATCGAATCAGCCAGCAGTGGCACAGAATACTAGTATGTTCTGTTCATTATAATTCATATGAGATTTCCAGACAGCAGTACGTTAAGCAAATGGCCTTCAAAGGTCTACCAATTATGTAAAATATATGTTTCATCCATGAAAAATGCTCGGTTTTAACACTTTCAAAATGTTTTATTAAATAAAATAGATTTTAGATAAAGATTAAAAAAAAACACACACAAAGACAATTTGCTCAAAGTCTTACTTTCACCTCCCCGTGGTGAGCAGGGGAAACATGTCTTGTGCAGGTACATGTTGTACTTTAAATCAATCTTACATGCATAATCCGCTGGCTAACGAAAGAGGCAATGTATTGGTAATGTATACGTTTAAGTGTAGCGGTAATGTAACCTTTTTTGTAGCGGTAATGAGTATGTAGTGGTAATGACAATTTTGAAACTGTAGCGGTTATGATAAGCACCCAACTCAAAATGTTCAAACACACTTTTTGGATTGTTACATTTTGCGTCAAGATTTACGCAAGATGTAAGAACATATTTTATGGATTTCATATCGAAATTAAGATTCAATTGTTAACTCATTTAATTACTAGTATTACCACACAAAAGATTGTCCCTTCACATTCAAGGAGAATACATTTCCCGAGGCTCAACAAATTAAAGAATATTTGTCACAATAATATAATATAAATTGAAACGCATTAAACGCAGTTGTACATTAAAAAATATACATGTACAAAAAAAAATTGATTAAAAGCAAGAAAACTTCCAAAAGTCCGAAAATATGGTAGGAAAATGTATGAAAATGTTGGATAGGAGAGACTAATTTGCATTAGGAAAACTTTTTTGATAGCAATTTATTTAAAAAGGCGTTTATTTGAGGAGATAAAAAAGAGATTATCACATTTTAAATTCTGTGTCAAATGCAGTGCAAAATATAACAATCCAAAGAGTTTGTTATTACATTTTGTATTATTGCATTTTGCGTTAAACTCGACACAAAATGTAACAACACAATTATTTAATCCAGAAAGTGTGTTAATACATTCTGTATTCATTATATTTTGCATTATTACATTCTGCGTTTACCTCGACGCAAAATGTAATTATCCTAGTTTAATATATTTTCCATCGTTATTACATTTTGCAATGTATTATAAATAGATTTGATATAGTTGATATAATTTATGGTATCAAGTAGGGTATGCAATAAAGAGGCAAAATAATCTTTTCATTACAATTTTTCAGCAGTGAAATACGTAATTTACCCATTAAATAAAATTCATATTTTCACAGAAATAGTTTTTTTTTTCAAAGTTAAAATAACAACAACAGCAATTCACAGTGAAAAAAACAAAATCGCGATAAAACTCCCCTTCATGAAGAGTGTGAAAGATAAATGTAAATTATATAATATAATTTATATTGTATAGTGAACTGGGTCCATATGGTAAATGGATTATTAAAAAATAGAAACGGTATGTTACAGAATACCTTCGCAGTATTAATCACTAAGCAAAAAATAAACAGTCTCGTTTTTGGGCGTGTTGGAATGATTTGTCGATTGGCGCACGTGATAATTCTTGACAATTGTAAAACATGCAAATTGCCGCTCCTTAACCCCTGCCCCCGTGACACCCCCCCCCCATTCCAAAATTACCTGTTTCCGTTCGCATCGCTGCTGATACACAGGACTAAGAGAATCGTCAGGGTTTATGCGTATTTCTCTTGTGATTAAGCATTTCTGGAAAAAAATGTTATTCTTTCATGAAATTTGTTTTTACAGTCAATTAAAATCTATAATTATATAATTTTAGAGATTTTTGATGCATTTTTAAAGAAAAAAAGAAATCAACATTGCGTTGTATTATTCAAGCTTAATGCACACCTCCAAGGTAGACCAAAATAATGCGTTATACCCGTACTTATTTTCACAAAGAAAAGAAAAAATTCTTGAAGAATTTGAAACGCATCATTCACGCCCTTACACTTTGCTATTATATCAAGAACCACTCCTCATTCACTTTTTAAGTTTATAGGATATTTTTACTGACCACTGTGTAATTTACCTTTAACTTCAAGTATTTTTATCCAAAATACATTTATATTTAAAACAAAGTTCAGTGATTGATCCAGTCTGAGAGTTGACTGAAGACTGTTTTAATAATACACTGACTAAAAGGAATTAAAATAGCAGTTAACTTTCGCAGAAAGTTCTGAAATTCACTAAACATATTAAACAATACAAATCACACAAAAATGTACCTCATTTGGCTGACAGAAGATAACATCTTTACAGTCTTTAGGGTGTCTGATGTCTGAACAAGAGTAACATCTAACAGCATCGGAACCGGTTGACTTAACTATAAAAAATAATTAAGCACCGTTATATTAAGAACAAAAGAGCCTGTGGACACAATGTTCATCCCAGCTTGAGCGGATTTAAACAGACAAATAACCCCGTTGAGCGGGGGGAGGGGGGGGGGACATTATATGCAAAATTTTTATTGAAAAAAACAATCATTATAGATTCGGAAGAATAGTGAGGGGACTTATGATTAAATCCCCATTCGTTTCTATCGGGCTCAGTAAAAATTGTACCTATCTGAAAGTTAAGTACTGTCAAGAATAGTTGTATAATGATGTATTCTCATAGGCATCGGAACCGGGAGGGGGGGAGAGAGAGGGGGGAGGCTGGGGGTTATCTCCCAACACTTTTTCTTTTGCATAGACAAGATAAAGACATCGAAAATTAGAGTTTACTCCCAAACATTTTTTGTTGGTTTAGGCCCCTTTCAATTTGCTTCCGACTATAATTTACTAATCTAGCTGAGGAACATCGTAACACTATCAAAAATGAAAACTAAGATGATGATGACAGTGATAAGCGATTATCGAACAAAAAAAAAAAAAATAGTTACAGTCACAAAGATCCAGATTACATCGGTCTGTCTTACAACACTGTGTACAGTGGATCGGTGTTATGGCTCTCTTCGATCTCAAAGTATGGTTACTACCATTGTAACTGAATCCGCTCTCTTTTTCTTTGCATTGTGTAATATGACATATCTGTAAAAAGGACACCTCAGTTTTACTAAAATAAGTACATGTACTAATTGTAATAAGCAGTTACATGTGTTCGTTTTATACAAATGTACATACATGTATATCCTGTTTAAAAGATTTTTTTTTAAAGAAGAATAGGCTCTTCCATCAAGGTTCCGTAGGAACGTTAACGAATCAAACGATATTTTCCACTTTAAACAGATACAAATATAAACAATATCTTTTCTTTCTTGTTAATGCAGCAAAAAGGTGATGTGTTTTTTTTTCCCGCAAAGTCCCAGCTGTTAGTGTTATTATTACCAAAGAAAGCATTTTATTGTGGAAATATTCCCATTAAATTGCTTTCATAAAAAACTTCAGTGGTGTGGTCCCTAATCTTGCATACTTTTGATGATGTGATGCAAGTAGAACATATAGTTCAGATCCGTATAAAAACAACTTTATCAAAACACACACACTCACTAATTTCAACGCATATGTTGAGGTACATGCACTACATGTATACACTTTAGTAGATAAACAGTTCGTAGACATTAATCATTGAAATACCTCGATTTACGGTACCGTTTTGACGAATAGCTGAAAAAAAAAACAGAAAACAGAAAAAAAACGCTTGTTTTTCTGTGAAAAGCCCGAGGTGTTCCGAATGTAAAAAGTGCATTTCTTTAGACCAAAAAAAAAATCATAAGCTCAAATCCAAATCTAGCCCAACAGATTTTTTTTTAGACTTCTGTAGACAGTCTGTCCAAAGACCATCCTCACAACGTCCACACGTACAGCATCAATGGTCCTGAGTCCACTCGTAGCCGTTAGACCCCTGACAAATTTCACTCGTCATTTAATGGGCTTGCTTCTTAAGCTTTGAGAACCACCAATCAGATTAGGGCTTTCATATTTGACATAAAACATAAACAGAAAGTAAGCAGTTGACACCTCAATGCACGTGTTACGGGTTGTTTATCACCGAAATAAAAACAACAATTAAGATTTGTAATTTATCCGAAAGACGTCACTGCAGTCAGCCCATTGAATATCGAATGATTTGTCAGGGGTCCAAGGACCATGTGGGGACTCAGGACAACTGACTTTATGAGAATGTCTGAAGACCATCCTAGAAAAATTCTTAAGCCTAAGTACGTCTATCGAAACCATTCCTAATTTGGGAAAATTCTGAAGAATCGTCTTAATCCAAGGACAACTCGGACATGTCGTAAGTTCATTTTAAGGAAAATAGTATTGCTTTATCATAGAGGCTCGTCATTCCAGGCCTGAGAGACAATCAGAGAATTTTATTAAGTATTTCTTCATTTCACAAATTAATTCTTAAAACAAAAAATAACTTCTAAAGTTTCCTACGTAATTCCTTAGACCTTCATTATTCCAGACTCCCTGATTTGCTAGCAGAGAATATTTGTCTTATCATCACTTATACAATATCATCACTCATATTATAGTTTACGCTCCCCTATTTCTAAATAATTTAACCACTATTCTCCAGTGTTAGATGTGTTCAATAGAACTTTCTTTCTGATCAGTGACTCATTAAGAATTTGCAATTATAGATAAGTTTCATGAAGTCAAAAATATTTTTGGTAAGGAAGCAAAGTATAAACTTGGTTGTTTTTTTTTTTTTACGTAGTATATCAAATATTAACGTTCCTCAAAGCATTTTCTTTTAACACTTCGTCTTTGAAAAAATAAATATATAAATACATTGTAAATAAATAAACGACAAAAAAGCAAAAACAACAACTTAACCAAAACAGTTAAACAAAAAAAAAAACAAAAAACAAAAACAAACAAACAAACAAAAAAGATTGCCTTTCTTATATCTTTTTTTTCTAATATACCCACTTCTGTAATGTATTTGTTGTTATACATATACATATTTACTGCTAAGTGCCAAGTCATACAGCAAACAGCGGGTATATCCGTTTACTATTCGTTTCCCCTTCTACACATATCAACTAGGGTGGTTTCAACGTACAAACTATGATTGACACATGAATCTCTAAAAATTCATCTCTAAGACAATCAAGAACAGTCATAGGACCTAAGAATGCCTCCAACAGCATGCTCACTTGTTTCTTTTTTAAAAGACGAATATACTTAATAGATGGAAATGAAACATTACAAAATAAATACTGATTCAGTGGTTGATTTCCCTGATAAAAAAAAATGATTAAATTATTTACCGAAGTGCTACGACATCCTGCATTGTATTTGAAAATTTCCTTATCATTTCCCTCAAAATCTCTAACAAATACAGAGTATTTGTCAAGGAAGCAGAACTGAAAAATAAAGAAATAAGAAATACAAGTAGCATCTTTGAAAAGTTTTTATAGTCATATGCATCGTGTATTATCTTGTATTTGAATATCACTGCATTATAACTCACAGTCACAATAATTTACTTGTTCATTATGGGAAAAAATAATTTCAATCAAATGTTGAATGTCTACCTACAGAATAACTATAAAATTTTAATGCATTTATATCTGTTTTTACAAATACAATAATTTCAAATTAACTTTCGGTGTTTGAATTTAATAAAATTGTATAAATAATGTTTTGTATTGTTGCCTATATCTATATATCTATATAAGAATAAAATCATGTATCAAATATTCAAAATAATTTATAACAATTTGTTTTGCAGATCGAGCTTGGATAATATTTCATAGTATTTGTGTTACCACGAAGTCGATGGAAAGAAAACGTACCTGGCCTGGAGCACAAGCTCTCTCTTCTATGCAAGCATCCACGGTGTCAACATCATTACACGTTAAGCATTTTAAAAATGTTCTTTTGGGTTTATTTGTCGTAGATATTGGTTCATTTGTCGTTGATGCGGACACTATCAAATGTAAAAAGACAACTGTCGCTCAATATATCACAATATGTACATAATGCTTTTATTATGACGGTAGCTTTGCGTATAGTAGGCCCAAATGTTAAAAGGGAAGAAAAGGATCTCGTTTCGGAATTTTCGTCACATATTTCTATAATAATTTACAAAGAATACAAATACTACATATCTCATTTACCTACTGATCCGTGGTTATTAACAAATGGCAACAGAATGTCTAAAAAATAAAACACATTCATAAATAAAAGAGAATGGGGAGGAAAATTATCAGTTCAAACTTTTTCTTCTGTCATATTACAAAACACGTTATATATATATATATATATATATATATATATATATATATATATATATATATATATATATATATATATATATATATATATATATATATATATACTCCAAGTCACTTAAAAAAATTTCTTGGTCAGTATACAAATATGCAAATGTAGATTTGATGATGAGTTTTTGTCGAGAAGAAAACTTAATACAGAAAGTTAAGTATAATCTTTGATTACAAAATGATGTTTTTAAATTTGCAAAGAAATATCACTCAAACTTTTTAATACCATCGTTCCTATCGCCGGACTCGGCTGAACTAAACATCAATCAGAATTTAATTGAATCCTTTGTGTTAAATATGTAAACCACAAGAAGTTTGAAAGTTGTTTTACATTTGTTTGTTTTTTTCCACCCAAATAAGCTATACTAACTGATACATTTGAAAAACTTGCCGTTCACCTTTTCAAAAAGCAAATAAAGAAAATTAAGACTGAATACTCACAATAAATAAATAATTTGATTTCCATTACAAAACAAAGTATACAGAGTTCCTTCTATTCGATAGATAGAGTAAATGTTCCCCCGACACCTGATAAGGTGAACGTAATAGTCTTACAAGGTCAACATTTCGTTTGACCTACGCTCTGATTTCGTCTTTCTTTTAGTTGGCGAATAAAGTGCATTCTTTATTTCCGGACATTTTTCAGTGATTTCCGGAGCACCTCTATTAATCTTAAAGACTAATTAATTTCACAGTACGTATAGTTTCATTGACAGGTATTTGGAAACATCAAGAGTTTCGGTCTTTAACTGTCAATTACCGACATGTGTCCATAAAAACCGGACTAAATCCCTACTTAATTTGATTGAAAATAAAGAATGGTGAATTTATTAAACAACTTCATCTTCATTCTTAGATAACTCCAAATATTTGTAAACTAGTGCCTTAGAACCAATACGGGTATCTTTTGGAAGAACATGGCCACAAATTCCGGAGATGATAGGTTATCAAAGAATGCAACATTCTTGTCCTGGCTATGAGCAAAGACAAACCTGCCACTTTAAGCTGATATCTTTTTCCAAGAGTTTCATTCAATGACAATAAGATCCATTGATGTCAAAACGTTGAGATGTGATATACATTTACTGTACATGGAGGAATAAAAAAAAAAATGAGAAATTGGTTTGTCCGCTCTTACCCTGATCGATTTACATACTCAAAATAAATATTAAATTAAAAATGAAGAAATGAATTGATTGATTAATTATTTAATCTCTATCCTAAAAAGGGAGAAAACAAAAATAGAGATTGTTAAACAAGAGTTTATTCAGGCATCTTGATGATACACGACTGCTGTAGGAATCATTTATGATAATGTAACATTTTTGAAAGTTTTTGCACCTATTAATGCTATAAATGTATCAATAATCAATTACCATTATCCATTTAAACCACTGATGATACAAAAATTTATGGATTGCCATATCACAAACTTATAATGTATATGTACATAATCGTTCATTAATGATAAAAATATTATCATTAATGTATGCAATTTCACAGATCATTGTTGGATTTTACATAATTCTTAGTCACTAGCTCTCAGACTGCAAGCAACAAATCAGTTATATGACGATTTTATATCATTTGTCAGTGATTCTTATATAAAAGTCCCTAGTTTGTCTTGATCTGTTAATCAACGGAATTTAAAAATAAATGGGTTTATTTTGGGTGTTTTCTGGTGATTTTAAGCTCAGTTTAAAGTTTTAAGCTGACATTTTGCCGAGAAATCTACAAATATATTCATAAATATTTTTGCAAATGTAAAGTTCCTTTACATGTTCCCCTTTCCACCCCACTCATTCCCACTCTGGGTATCTGGGTAGAAAAAATTCTTCTCTATCGTCCTGATGACACTTGTAGTATCTGTGGATAGACGTTGGTGTCCGTTGCCTCTCGGACTGTCAGATATTTAATGAGTTTGAACTAAAAGAATGTCTTGAAGATGGTAGCACTCAATGCCCAGAACCAGAGTCTCTGCCATTTGATGACAGAGTATGCCTTACTTTCTTCAGGGAGACGATGCACATTTCTAATGAGACCTTATTAGAGGTCTAACAAAAACAGTAATTCTACAACTGCAAAGTTTCAAGTGATCCACTTGTAGTTGAGAACGTTTTCGGAATCCTAACCAAGACGTTCAAAGTATGCTTACAACTACATGTATATAAAGTTTTTTGTGTTTATGTACGATATTCGGTTCGTTGCTGTGTTTTTCTAGCAGACATAATCTTATGCAACGGAGGTATTCTGCTCAGCAAAATACAGCTTTTGAGATGATCAACGCAATCTGTCCCCTGGAGTTTCAAGAAGTGACCACAGTTTCTGGACCCAACACTGACAACAAGCGACAGATGGAATACGTATCCTGATTGTTTTGTCTGGTGTTGAGTGAGCTTGCAAAGGCTGATTAGACGAGGCAAATGACCGAGTTTAGTGTTCACTGGGTTGGCTTCTTGATTGGCCGCTGAATTGCGTAACTGAAATTCCCATGATGAATCCATTGATTCCCAACCGAGTTTGGATTCTGTTCCGAGGCGGGCCAGTACTGAGGTTCAGGATGTCATACTAGGTTATACAGACTGGCAAAACCCCCGAATTTAGTTAGAAAGCAGTAAGTGTTAGCACGAAAAAAATCCCTCAATGCTCAATGGCCCTGAGTACCGAGTATATGTAAAAATTTGCAGCTCTCCACTTCAAGTGGTGGTGTCTCCATATCAGTGAAAAATTCTCGAGAGGGACGTTAAACAACAAACAAACAAAATCAACTATAAAACCGTACTTTACATCGGAAATTTCATGCTAACATCTTTTCCAGAAGAAGAGCTAAAGGTTTGGCATGACTGATCTTTGCCACTACATAAATGCGCTCTGTGGATATGACCAAGTAGCTGCTTCTGTATTGTCAAAAACTACTAAGAGTCTTCTTCCAAGCTTGTAGAAATGGCCTGTCATGGGAAATAAAATGTACTATATATGTGGAGGTCATGCTAAGAGGAGTCACTGAACAGAGATGACGTTCCTTAGAACGAATATCTGGCGTTTCATTGTCATCATTGATAATTGCGTCCCCAGTAGTGTGCATAATACAGCCAATCAACGAATTGCGTCTCGTCAGTGATGCGAGATGCCAAAAAGTTGAAAATATAGTTGGAGATCTAGACCTTCATATATATATATATATATATATATATATATATATATATATATATATATATATATATATATATATATATATATATATATATATATATATATATATACCAAAGTAAGACCAGACAAGATTTGTTTGTGAAACACTGATGCCCCTGTATGGCAGCTTATGGCGAAGGTTAAAGTTTCTCAAATACGTGTCAAACTCCAAGGTCAAGAGATCAAAATTGTTGTTACCCAAAGAAAGGACCTGTGACAATGGATATCCGTGGTAAATATGAAAGTCCAAGCACCGACCATTCAAAAGTTATGATCAAGGTTAATGTTTTCTAAGTGAGGGTCAAACTCCAAGGTCAAGGTCAAAAAGTTAATGGTACGCAGGGGTAGACCTTGTCATAAGAAATACATATGCAAAATATAAAAGCCCTAGCAAAAACTGTTCAAAAGTTATGGCCAAGGTTAAAGTTTTTCAAAAAATAGGTCAAACTCCAAGGTCAAGGTCAAAAAGTTAATGGTACGCAGGGGTAGACCTTGTCATAAGAAATACATATGCAAAATATAAAAGCCCTAGCAAAAACTGTTCAAAAGTTATGGCCAAGGTTAAAGTTTTTCAAAAAATAGGTCAAAATCCAAGGTCAAGGTCAAAATTGTTTTTGTATCCGAAGAAAGGTCTTGTCACAAGGAATAAACCTGTGAAATTTGAAAGCTCTAGTACAAATAGTTCAAAAGTTATGAACAAGGTAAGCGGTTATTTTTTTTTTAAGTGGTTCAAACTCTAAGGTCAAGGTCAAAAATATTTACACCCTTGGAAAGGTCTTGTCATGATAAATAGATATGTGAAATAGGAAAGTCCTAGCACTAACTGTTCAAAAGTTATGGCAAAGGTTAAAGTTGGGTAATTTTTTGCAAAAGTGGGTCAAACTCGAAGGTCAGGGTAAAAAGGTCAAATATGTTTGTACCCAAAAGAAGGTCTTGTAACAAGGAATACACATGTGAAATATGGAAGCCATAGCTCCAACCAATCAAAAGTTATGGGCAAGGTTAAAGTTTTTGCGGACAAACCGATAAACAGACTGACAGACGGACGGACGGACAGGGCAAAACCTATATACCCCCGAATCTTCGATAACGGGGGTATAAAAACACTCTACAGATGCTCCTTATTTTTCATAAGTTCCAAATTTAAAGATTGCTCACAAATAAATAAAATGTATACCTACACTAAATGTTCCTCTTCTATAAATCAACAATGTGAGATTTCAGAATTTGAAACATCTCCATATCTAGGCTTCGTGCCCAGTCAGCTCAGGTGCTCTTAACCGGAAATGAGCTTCTCCGGATGACGATACTAGTATATAGTTTGTCGTTTTCTGTCCAGCATTCGTAATGTTGCAATAAATTAATAAAGCACATGATATTTTTTATTTTTGTGATTATTATAACCCCTCCCCTGCAAATAAAATTTGGATGTATTCAGAATCATTTTGTCCGTCCGTCTGCTCGTCTATCTAGCTATCCACCTACCTGTTCATACAACCGTGTCTGCGTCATGATATTGTAATGGAAAAATATAGAATGCCTATACTTACAAATGTCAAAATTGCTTATGACCAAGGATGTCATGGCCTTGATTTAAAGTCATTTGGGCAAGTTAAAGGTCACTGACAGGAAAGGGAATAATATGTGTTTGGTCCATAAATTTTTAACAAATAAAATTGGAAGTTCAAAAGACACTTATGACCTAAGGGTACTTACAGTATGTCATAACCTTGACCCGAGATTATATGTTTAAGTTGAAGGAGACTTTCAGAAGAATGTATAAATCTTTTCAGGCTTCTGGGCCATAAAACGTAGACATCCTCACTTTTGATCTTAGCCTTACATTTACAAAAGGAATTCATGGTGGAAAGATAAAAAAAAAGTTTTATGAGTCCGGAGCCAGGCCATTGATCAAATTCTTGAAAAAAAAAGGTATATACATACAATATATACAGTAGTCAAAATGCCCAAACATTAAAATGATATTGTACAACGAATTCTCTAAAGGACATATTCTACTTGTAGTTAACTGTCAAATTGTGGAGGGCCTGACTTGTGACACCTACATATACCCCCCTCCCCTCCCCTCACCCCCCCCGAATCCCGATTTTCTTGGGCGGATTTTTTTTTTTTTTGCTTGGCAGCCTTTTCCAGGGAAGAGAGAAAAGAAAAAGGAAAATTCCCTGGTCATTTTAGAAATAAATATTGTGTCCTGCGATAGCAAGAAAATAGATAATCTGACTCGAAAAAATTTCCCAGCCCCACAGAGACGCGGATCCAGTAATTTTTGCCGGAAAGGGGGGTGGTTCCACTGGCATCAACTCTAACAATTGTCAGACTCGGAAATTGTTTGACAAGCCAAAGGGTTCTAGAGGGAGAGGGGGAGGCCATTTTACATAGATAAATAGATAATTGCTAACTCTTAAATCCCGGGGGGGGGGGGGGGGTCTTGACCATCGACCCCAACCCTAGATCGGATCCGCGCATGCACCCCCTCCCTTTCCAAAGAATCAAATGGTGATTTTTACAATTTACTTTCCTTTTAACCAAATACCTTATTTCTCTTCACTGCATTTATTACAACTTACTTGTTTTCATTGATTGTAAACTGTAGTTACCTTATTTTCTCGGAATTCACTATATTGGTCGATTTAGGTTCTAACATTTACTGATGTGTCAGTCGCCAGAATTTTCTCAACATGTCGTATATGTTTGACCACGTTAACAAACAGTGCAGAAACTAAATGTTATACGAAACGTGGTGGATTCGTCACAGAAAAAGTTATTTATAAAGGTATATTTTAAAGCATATAAGTGTTGAGCAAAAAATATAAATAGCAGTGAGGTCAAAATGTAGCAGAATAAGACAGTTATCAAGTCTGAGTTTATGTAAACACGTCACTTATCTATCAAGTGTCGGTTCCTGATGACCCTTGAACTCTTCTTCCTTTTGTAATATGCACTGAAATATTTGAGCAGCTTTTTATTTGATGAAATACTCCCCCCTGAAAATTAAAAAAAAAAAACTGAATTTGTAGTTGTACAGCACATGATTTTTTTGGACTTTGAATTGTTAATCTAAGCAATCAATCATGCTGTGTGCATTACTCAGGTGTATTAAGTACTCTCTGACATGTTATGTAATTTTGTAAAACCTCATTTTACCTGTCGTATAAATATGTATAAATTAAAATGGTTTCTTTAAACTGACTGTTAAGAAAATCAAAAATTCAAATGTTTTAGTGTATATATTTTAAGGTGCTGATCGAAATTCACATAACCTTATAAAATTTAAAAAGAAAGAAAAAAATCAAAGTTAAAATCACAATTAATGCTGAATGTACAACTGCATGTAGATGTTAAAGCTATTCTCTATTGAAAAGTTCATGGCTCATTTTAATACTCCCCCTGGGGGGGATATTAAAACGATACATCAACTTCTCAATAGAGAATAATGTTAATGCCACAAATGCCAACCTGCAAACATGTTAAATTAAATAAAGTTTCAGAATTCAGAGATCTTAGCTGTGTTAAAAGCATGTCAGATGAAACTAGAAATTTCAGTATGTATCTTAGTACTTTCATGCATTATTAATTAGTAGTAATATAGGCTCAAATAAGATATGGTTTTTCATAGCTTTAGGAACTTATGCATTTTTACCATTCAGCACTGAATTCGATCATTTTATTTACAGCATTATGGGTAATAAAATCCTGGTCAGTTTTGGTGAACGTTTCATCATGTTCATTGTCTGAGTAAGACCAACAGGATGCTGATCTCTATAAACAGAGAAGTTCGGCTTTTCTTCAAGCGCAGAAAGAAGAAAATTTTGAGGATTTTGGTATTGTTTTTCACTTTGTTAATTGTAATGTTTTTATAAACTTCAAAATACATTTAAAATCATTAAATGTAAGTTATATAAGCAGTGGAATTTAGTAAATATGGATTTAATATCTAGTTTTTAATCTAAAACCTCTATCCCTCAGTGTTGTGGACTGGACACGGAAATTGTGGCTGCAGTGTACATCTGTGCATTCCTCATAGCTGCTTTGGTTCTGGTGATCTGGCAGATTACAAGGGACAAATGTCACACAGAAAAAGTCAAAAAACACTTGGTAAATAGAAATGATTATTTCTCTAAAACCTTTAAAAAGTATTAAATTTTCCCTCCCTGTTCCAAATATCTGCAAAAAGTGTTTCTCACTCATAAGTACACAAAACTCAGTCTTTTTGTATCAATTACCAACCTCACTTTGAAATTCCAAAGGTAACCAATCAAAATTCACTTTTGCCTTAATATTTTTCTTTCAAAATCTATTTTGAATAGTGTGTACAGTTAGATAAAAATACATGTCGAGTACAATGTGTTAATGAAATTTCCAAGTTTTGTTTCTTTGGTATTGGAATTAGGAATTTAAGAGGCCTTGAACACATTGGCATCTTAAAAAAATAACATTTTGAAATGACAAAAGAACAAAATAGCAAAAACATGAAAATAAGATAAAAAATACAAAAATGCTGAAAAATGATGGCCAACTGAACAAGTCAAGTCAGAGATATTGGCATGTCACCTGACAGCATGTATAATTTTTAAAAGACAAACTTCAAACTAATAAACAAACTTCCAACTAATAGACAAACTTCAAAATGGGTTTTGATGTCAAGCACTTAGAAAAAGTAAGAATATTTTAAGAGATTTGGAAAAAGAACAACTTTAAATTTAAACTTCTGAAATAATTGCACTCAGAAAAATGAATAACAAGAAGGATTGGATCAGAAAAGAGAGATATGTTTCATAATTTGAAGAAAAGCTCTTACCACTAGAGTTGAAGCTCAGATATGCAGTCATGGATGACTGGTAAGCCAAGGTTATTAGTCCCCTACCGGTGAAACCGGAGGGGACTATAGGTTTCCTCTGAGTCTGTCCGTCCATCTGTCTGTCAGTCTGTCCCACTTGGTTTTCCACACTTTTTCCCTAAACGCTTGCAGATATTGAGCTGATTTTTGGTATGTGAGTGTATCTTGATGAGTTACAGATCAAGTTTGCATTTCGTTCCGCTTCATTGATTTTTGACGGAATTACGACCTTTTCAATTTTTATGGGTTTTCTGCAATTTTCTTCTAAACGCTTGCAGATATTGAGCTGATTTTTGGCACTTGACTTTACCTTGATGAGTTACAGATCAAGTTTGCATTTCGTCCCGCTTCAATGATTTTTGACGGAATTATGGCATTTTCAATTTTCAACGGGAACCAGATTACACTTGCCGGTAGGGGACTAGTATTGCTAATGCAATACTCTCAGAATGTTTGTTTTACATACAGTTGAAAAATACATGTAGTTGAAAACATGGCACCAGTGCAATGAGCGGAATAACAGACTAGTGTCTCATAGTATTACATGTAAATGCATTCTACTTGTCACAATAAAAAAAGGATTTCTATAGATTCAGGGAATCTTTTTATTGGTATATTAAGTTGCTTATTTCCCTGAATTAACCTTGTCAGAATTGACAAACAAATGATAAAATCAGATATGTTGCAAATCACAGATAATTCTAAACAGCGGGTATAGAAGATTGGATAATGCTTTATAGTTTTTAAAGATATATTGATGTTTTGGAGGATGATATCTAAGGGATAAAATCAATGAATTATAAATTGTTTTTTTTTTAATTCTCCTTTATAGTAAGAGTAATGGGCAAAAAATATAGAGTAAACTTCGTACAACTTTTTATACACCAGATTTAAAAAGTATGTTTCATAATAAGATTATTATCATAAGGCATCTAAACAATAACAAAATTAGGGGAAAAACTGATTAACTCCCTTTTCAGTGCCAGGACTACAAGGATGGCAAGATTGCAGGGACTTGGTGCCATGCACTTTGTGTCGAAGAAGAAATTCAGCTTCACAGTTGCCATTATGAAAGTGGTCCATCACTGGTAGGATGTGTAACACAGTTGTTATTCCTAAGTTTGTATGTTACAGTTAACTATGTACTGGTCAGTAAAATGTACCACAGCTCACATGCATTATATTTATATCCACTAAGTATTTCCCCCTTTATTTCGTAAGAAAACCCATTCCTTTTTAGATATGAATATGTAGAAACAATAAAATGCTTTCTTTCCTTGCAAATACAGGGAATAATGGTTGCAAAGATTGCAGAATAAGATTACAAAAGTTGCTTATGCAGGTTATAATTTTTTTTCTCCAAAAGTTTCAACTATTAATTTCCATATTGATAAAGAAAGAAAGCATTTTATTGTTTAAGTAATCACAGTGTTATAGTGATGTGTATATTCTAACCCAAATAATCGAGTCATTGTATTCTGTCAATCTCAGATTCTCTGATTGCTGCATTTATTGTTCATGGATAAATACTTGTAGTCAGTCAACAAAGGTTAGTAATTATCGGGTCATATATTTATTGTATTTTCTAGACATTCCAGTATGAAGATACAGTTGTTAAGCTACCTCATTCTTACAAGACCTCTTCACCACATTCCCAACTCCGAGAACCACTGTCCATGTCTCAACTTGAAAAAATGCTACAAGAGCTACTGCATTCCAAACTAGGACAAGTGGATGTCACTGGGCTGTTACAAAAAATCTACAAATATGCTGACTTCAACAACAATGGAAAGGTATAATTTCATAATGCTCGTAATGTGGCAAAAAATTAATTGTTCAAGTTGTGGTGCAAGAATTGAAGACATTTTGTTAAAATAGTTCAAATGATAATATGAAAAATTTGAATAAAGGATTTTTTTTTTTTTTGCAAAAAAAATGATATCTCTGATGTATTTTTAATTTTTCATCTTATTTCAAGATATTTTATCTCTTTACAGCTAACTTATGGGGAAGCAAATTCAGTTTGGCAACTTTTGAACATCCATGAATTCTTTATTCTCTTCATCTTTGATGAGGATCCAATATTTCCATTGAAAAATGGAACATGTGGGCCTCTTTATGCCCATCAACATGTTAAAGCAAGCCCTCTTTTTAACAAACACAACAAAACTTTTTTGGATAACTTTTTCTCTAATACATATCGATGGAGTTTTCCCACTTGGGATAGGAGAGTCAAAGTGGCTGTAGGTTTGCTAGAATATGGTATTACATTTTCTGAGAAGTACAACGCAAAGTTCTACATGTGTGATTATGTTGAACAGTGTTTTGGACACACTTCATTATTTGAGGTCAGTTTGGTCTCTTTTGAGAATATTATGTCAGAATTTATGATAGGAAATATATTAAGCCAAAAGGAATGCTCAAAAGACTCGCATTGTCAATATCAGAATTTGTGTCACTCATTGTGCAATAAACAAACAGGAAAATGTACAAGCGACGTTATGGAACCTTCTCATACATCTATATGTGAAGTTCTGAGAGATTATGTTTTATTTGATGCGCCAGCCCATGTGAAGACCAAATTGAATGACTTGCTGAAAAAATGTGATCGATCAGGGCAAAAAATTGACAAAACAGGGAACAGTATGGAAGTCAATCAACATTATGTCAGATACAACACCATTTTGATTGATATCCAAGCCTTGCTATGGGATGAAATAAAAAATAAACCACCCAACTGGCTCCACCCACCTAAGCCTAAGAAGAAGCCAAAACAAAACCCAAAGTTTACTGGGAAGTAGAGCATAAACAAGGTCCTTAAAGTTCAGTTTTGTGTTTAATTACATTGCAGTTTGTTTAACAGTTCATTTTTATTTTGTGTTCCATTTCATTCCATTTTTTAATTATTTATTTATACAGGTATTTTTATTCATCTTATTTTGGTCATTTAACATTTGGATTTTGTCTTTTCTATCTCACAAATCTGAAGTCATAAGATTTTTTTTAAATATAATATACATATGTCCAATATTCTATCATAAAAAATTCATTTTAGTGGAGACAGTTTATCAGTAGAGGCCAGAATAGGTGTTCTGGCCTATTACAGCATTGTCTTTCCTTCCCTATTGTTTTTTTTTATTACTATACTGTCTAGTAGAAGTTTTCAATCAATCAGACAAGTTCATGTTATCTATTAGTAATATATGTGGCATAGGACATTTTAGCTGATTGACAGGACATTTTAGCTGATTGACAGGACATTTTAACAGAAGATTTATAGGACATTTCAGCAGAAATTAAAATAGTATGTGGACCTTTTGGCAGATAGTTACATAAAATTTATTCATACCTCTTCTGTCAGCCAGACTGCCTATGAATTGTCCCCTGCTCACTAATAGGGAGGTGAAAGTATAAGATTTTTGAAGTCTAAATCACCAGCATTATCAAAATATCAAATCAGCAGCTGAGCATCTTCAGAAAAGAGCATCTGATTTAAGTATTCTATCAATTTTGTTTTGAAATCCATTGGAAATGATAACTCTTCTTTGGTCCGTTTTCTAAATCTAGCACTTCCAGACTGAAACTTCTTTTAGAGCTGGGAATTTTACAATTAATTTGTCAACTTTTGCTGACATTACATTGTATAAAGAGACTTGAATTTACCTGTGAGAAAAATCCACTAAAATTTCTGTTGAATTTTTAAAGGTAACTGCTAAAATGTCCTAAAAATTTATACCCATTCATACTTTTTGCAATTTTTCTAAAATATCCGTTGCCCACTTTATGTAAATTATGTACTTTTAATTATATTCTGCATGGTTTTATTTTTGTGAGAAAAGAGTATCCTACTTATTGACTTGATATAATTCATAGCATATCCTTCATTGGATCATTACACAGCGATTTTCTGTTATTCAAAAAATCTTTTTTGTGCAGAAACAATTTTGCAAAGTTATCTTTAAATGAATTCTTCATGGAGCTGCATGACCACAGGGTTTCCATATGCACAATACCTCATGCAGTATATTAAAAAAAAAATTTACACTTTCAAATTTTATCAAAATTTATGGAATTTAACAAAATTAAGAAATCTGAAGTAAAAAAACAAATTTACCTTTTTAAAGGACAGATTTTTAAATGATTTCTCAACTGATAAATAGATGGCCTCATTATTGTGCATCAGCTACACATGTACGGTACACCTTATTTTGAAGCAATTATGTATAATTCATTGCCAAATTTTCGTTGAACACAATATTCTTAAGTCCATAGCATTATATTTATGGTGAGAGGGTCAACCACTTAAGCACCAGTTGAATCAGGTTAATTTAATTGTACTCTCGAATCTTTTTTTTTTTTTTTTTTGGAATTCATGCATGGGGACAAAAAAATTCTGGAAATGTCTCTGTCCTGGTTATCATGACAGTAGAAGGGCTCTTCCCCTTTTAGTAACCATCTTAACTATTAATAGATATTGTCAACTGTTATATCATAATTTAGATGTTTTGCATACATACCTTGTCCTTTTTTTGTTTTGAAAAATGGATTAAATTTATCTGCAATATAAGTGATGCCAAAATTCTGAAGTATGACTATAAGTATTACACTGTTATTTAAAGCACTTAATTAATTTATTACTTTTATTGTATATTTATTGTTGTATACACTTTTTTTCACCACTTTTTTATTTTGTTGTTTCTGCAGGAGAAAAAACTCTGTAAAATCAATGCTATCTTAAAAATAACTAATAAGTTATAAGTCTGTATTAGCCAATTAGTTAAACCAAAAATAAAGAGAAAAAAACCCTGTGAATTCAAAAGAGCAAAAATGGATTTACTGTTAAAAAAGTTAAACAACACTCCACAGAAAAATCAAAGCTGTTTTTTTTTTTTTTTTTTAATTTTTATACTTAAACAATTTTTACTTACTGGACAGGTATGCATATTGTATATCATATTTGAGAAAATGTACATGCAATTGCATAGGTTTACTGGTTGATATTATGTACATTTTAGATATTTTTAGTATTGAAAATTCATGTTTGCAATAACGACTTGCCTGCACACGATATTGTGGATATATTTTACAAATAATCAAATTATATCTAGTCAATATTCATTTTCTTGATGCCTATTTAGCTCACTTTTCATTATTTGGCTTAGCAATGGGTTGCAGTAAGGTGTTTCATTTTTTTCTTTTTTTTTATTTGATTGTCAGGTGAAAGCATTTGTTAATCAGGTGAGCAATGTAGCCTATGGGTGTCTCAATACATGTACTTGCCAAAATTTCTTAATTTGATATAGGTGCTTTAAAATAAGGAACAGAACATCTTCATGTTCAAGCTGTCTGTGTAGAAATGCTCACAAATTTTCATGTGTACCTTTAATTTTTTGAGTCATGTCCAGTGCACATCATGGATATGGGATTTATTTGGTATGTTATCCATATACACATTTCATTGTATGTTTGACAGAAAAATTATATTTTTTTGTAAGTACATAGATACATTTGTTACAAAAAAAATAAGTATTATTGAAGTGTTCTACTAGTCATGGCTATTAAGTACATGTATGTATGTAATGATGCATATTAAACATCAATCTAGTCTACATTTGATTTGTTTTCAAATAATGTTAGTAATGTCAATGAGTGGACTTAGTAGATATATAGATTTGTATGGTTATAATTATAGGTATATAATGTTTACAACTGTTTTAAATATGGACAGAAATTTTTTTTTCCAAACACAAAATCAAAATGTCTTTAGTTGATGTTCTATTGTTGTTTACACAATTTCATTGCTCATTATTTATGTGTTTTTGTATCACATATACCATAAGACAGTGACTTCACAATCATCAAAGAGATCTCTGCAGTAGTGGTTCTGTATAAAACTTTACCAGGTACACGATTGATGGTAAAATCGTATAAGGGTCCACATCCCTGGCAGCTGTGTTGTCCAAGTTTTGTAATTTTTTTTTTTTTTTTTTTGGTTTAAAACTTTGTAAAGTTGGTAAATGGTTTCTAAAAATATTTTAAACTGTTGAACTTTTCTAATCTTACAAAATTTTTCTTTAATTTAACTTGAGGGAGAAAATGTCAGGAATACTACTGGAATTTTTATGTGAGAGAGGTCTTTACATGTAGCTCTAAACACTGAAAAAAATGTCAAAGTTTATTATAATTTAATTTAAGGAAGCTCTATAATCACAAATGACAAAAAAAGGTTTGTTTTTTTTTTTGGATTTTAAGAAAATTGTTGAACATATTAAGTTCATCTGGTTCATTTTCAACATAAGGTTCTCAGCCATACATTGTATATATTTCCCAGGAAAAAAATGTTCAAAGACAATGAAGAATTTGTGAACAAAAATCACTGTTGTTTACTTACATAGGATAATGTACTGTATTTTGGTCAGGTTATGATGTTAAGAATACTTCAATTTATTCCATTTATTACATCTTTTCATCAAAGGGCAGATCACTCTAACTGCATAAAAATACCATGATATCAAAACTTTTCAGTGGTCAGTGTTTAGATCGAGCTTCCTTAAATTTTATTAACATCGAACTGGAAGATAGGTATCAAGAGAGACAACTCTTGAAATTTGTCAATTTCATAACTTGTATGATTTACATTAAAATAATTCAATATTTCCATGACAACTTATTGAGCCTATAAGGGAATTAATACATGCATAAGAATAATATACACATTGGCTTGTTAATTTACAAAAATGAAATTCTCATTGGTTGTGTTGTACAGATTTATGTATATGGTAATTGAATGCTTGTTCATATAGGAGTGGAAATGGGGATAAATTATTATAGATATATTTCATGATGAAAATGTTGCACAAAAATAAAGAATAAAACTATCTGCTTGTTAGGTATCCTGACTTTTTGTTTTTGTTTGTTTGTTTGTTTTGCATTTCGATCACTGTCATAAGTTACAGATGATGAGTATCAATAGGAATACCGGTACAAACAAACGTTATGGTGCCATGAAAATATATAGAAACATATGTGATTTATAAAAATTCATCACTTAATTCTTATTTAAATGTACATTCTTAATGCTTATATTTATAATCCTTTATTGAGTACCACTAAGTTTTTTAAAATCTTTTTCTCTCAAGCAGTTTATCTCTGTGGTACCACATTTAACATTATGCTTTGACAGAATTTAACAATTTTTTTTTTCTGAAGCGTTATAAAAGGAAAGTGCTTATCAAATGTAAATATTTTATGTTGCACCCAGATTCTCTATCCATTTTGCAATAATAAGATTTTTTTCATGTCCAGCTCTTTTCTATGCACTAGCTTTGACAGTTTTATCAATTGCTGGGTTCAAAAACTCTTTTCCAGTCATATCTGTCATGTTGGTACAATCTCTGATGGCAGAATTTGGCACCTACAATCAAATTAAAGGTTGTTGAATTGTGCTTATCAATCCCACCACCAGAGGGTGCACTATACAAACTTCACTTACACTTTGTAATGGTATCCAAAGTAGTCCCAGCATCACATATACCCTGGTACATGTAATAAGTGTGGAAATTTAGGCAAAATAGTTTCATAAACAATTTTTAATAGTTTCAAGATGAATCAAAGTATAAAATAGATGCAGGAAAAGTATCTTTATTGTTTATTGTGGAAATGAATTATTAAGTATAACTTGACTGTTAACTTGATTCTTTTAATGTAGAAGATAATGGTGCACCCTCTGGTGAAAGATTGTTATCAATTTATTAATAAAATAACTATTTTTAGCTATTTTCAGATATAAATTATGCAAAATTCTATGCACCACTTATTTTCAAGTTCTAAGAGTGAACTTTGGTCCATATTTAGGTTGTAAATTATAGAAAGACTGGAAGCTGTAATTTTAATTGTTCTCAATGTCATACTGCTTGATTTTAATTGTTTTATTGATAAATGCCATACCCACTTTCATCTATTGCAAATTGACACTCCCCCCCCCCCCCCCCATGAATTAGTTTTATTGTTCCTAATGTCTGCACATCTTTCACGAATTAATTTGCCCAGTTCCTGTCTATCATGAGTGTCAGAAGTCAAACTATCAAACAGATGATCAGACCTTTCTTATAATAAAGTGATATCACATGTTCTGCAAGACCTAGCTGTCAGAGTTCAAGGTAACATCTAAGGTCACAAAAGGTGCTAAGCTTTCCCTGAACACTTTGCTGGTTATTTACAGTCTTAATTTGGATGTATGGTACCTTATTCAGGGGAGTGTACTGTGGATGATGATGAGGAATGACAGGGTTATTGGCCTTGGTATTGTATGCTGTAACAAATGCCCATCTCCTCAAATCACTGTTGTTAGGACCACTTGTGTGTAACAAATTACTGTGAAAGAACAGGGCATCCCCTGAAAATCATTGTAAAAATTATTTTATAAATTACTTCTTTGATGAAAATTCTTCTGATGAGAAGAAAAATAAATGGATGCATTACAAACAAATTGATTTTTGCCATTTTCAAATTCTGTTTACTGGGTAAAATGTTTTATGAGAAAAAGGAGATTTATACTAGACAATCTTTATTTATAATCTTTATTTATAATACCTTTATTACACAATATATAATACAATATGTAATATCTATACATGTAATAGAATTAGCCTATGAATATTGATGTCCTATCTGATCATAGACATACCAGGTTCCATTTCCACAAACTCCATGGGACACAATTTTTCAATTTCTTTAATTCTCTCTACATCAGCTCTAGTTTGTCCTGCAATCATCAAATGTTCAATTCTTCCACATTTGTGAGAACCTCGCAGGATCTGAGAAAAATAGTAACCATTCAGGACACTCCACAGATTTAATTCCATTATAATATGTCTCTGTCCTTGACTATTTTTACCTGCTGGCAGCCATTTGCCTTGTTGCACTTGTCTATTGCTAGGAAAACTGTTGACATATCTGGGAACAGACACCCATTCTTGTACCAGTATCTGAGAAACAATTTATATATTTAGAATATTTACTATTTTTATGGTATATCATTTTTCAAAAGTTGGTAAAATAAAAAACAATGAAGTGTCAATTCCATTTACCCATAGTCTTGATACCATAAGAAACTGCCCCCTGTGTGTGGTTCTTTCATGTTGAATTTTGTATGATAATGGTAAACTTCTCCTCCAAGTAACTATATAGAAAATAAATACAGTAAATAAAAAAAAATTATAGAAATAAACCACTGAAAAGCTGCTACTGAAATGAAAAAATAACTAGCAGCTGCTAAAAACAAGAGGGCCAGGGGCCACATCGCTCACCTGAGCAATATGGCTAGGAAAAAGCAGACATCAGTTCAGTATTGAAAAGCTTAAATATAAAAGTGGTTCGGGGGGAGAGGGAGGAGGGGTATGATTTGAACACTTGAATCTCCACTTCCTAAGGATGCTTTTGAATTAATATGACACACAATGGTTTTGCTGTTCTTAAGATGACAATTTTTATTGATGTATCCTTTATATTCCTTTGTATAACTATGATCCCCTGTTATGGCCCCTCTAATCTCCTAGGGGTCATGATTTGAACAAATTTAAATCTACATTTTCTGAGGATGCTTTAATATTATTATAACCAATCATGGCTTTGCTATTCTTGTGAAGAATTTAAATTTTTCCTATGTATTCCTATGTAAAACTTTGATCACCCATTGTGGCCCCACCCTACCCCCGGGGGTCATGATTTGAACAAATTTGAATATACACTACCTGAGGATGCTTCCATATAAATATTACCAATCATAGCTTTGCTGTTCTCAAGAAGAAGATATTTAAAGATTTTTTCTAAGTATTCCTATGTAAAGCTTTGATTGCCTATTGTGGCATCGCCCTACCCCTTGGGGTCTTGTCAATGATTTGAACAAACTTGAATCTACACTACCTCACAATGATTCCACAAAAGTTTCATGTTTTCAAGCACAGTGGTTCTTGAGAAACATATTTTTAAATGATGCCACTAATTTTTCACAAAATCATAGTTATCTCCCCTTGGAAGAAGGCGTGACCCTTCATTTGAACAAACTTGAGGCCGATTTACCCAGGAATACTTTATGGCAAGTTTGGTTGAAATTGGTCCAGTGGTCCTTGATAAGAAGATGAAAATGTGAAATGTTAACGACAACGACGACAGACAACGGACAAATTTCGATCAGAAAAGTTCACTTGAGCCTTCGGCTCAGGTGAGCTAAAAATAATTCAAGGTCACTTTACACTTATATACCATATGCAGGAACATTTTCGCCCCAGTTTTAATTTCATCCTTTTCTATGTCGCCAGTGGGCTAATTCAAAACAGGGCAGAGACAATTATCTCTACCAGTCTTACCTTTTCTGTGGTATCGACAACTTTTTCACAGCGTACAACCATCCCTGTAACATCATTTCCTGGATGGCTCCACAGAACCATTTTGCATTCCCTCCCTAATCCATCAGGAAGCTTTTTGAAGGTTACACATTTTGGATTAAATTATCAGTTAAATAAGTGTTTTGTGTGAAGTTACAATTTTCGTGTGAAAATTCAACTATGCTAATTAAAGGAAACAAAACTTTATAAGAGACGTCGACTTTTATGTATAAATGAAAAATTGCAAAATAAATTTAAAAAACAGACAAACAAACACGTACCCCTCCTCCTCCTACCCCCCCCCAAACATTCAAGAACAGAAGAAAAGAACACGAACTATAAGCAAAGGAACAAACGAAGATACATAGATCTATGATTCCACATTGTTGTTAGGATACTTACGCCATATGCGTGTTTGGTTATTTCTTCATTGTCCTCTAGCACCTCTTTCACCTTTTGTAATTCAGCAGTATCTAAAAGTTTTCTGTTATGACAAAAATATTAATCATAAAAAAGATATTTATATGCTTTTAATGCATGGTAAATTAAATAATATGGCAAAACACTGCTTTTCAGCACTTTTTGGTGTAAAAAAAAATATTTATTTAAGAAAGAAAAAACAATAACATGAATTTAACAACTAAAATTTAAACAACTGTTTAAGATGGTAGTATATATATATTTTTTTTGAAATTATTTACACGCCGGATGATTAAGCCCCCATGGGCAATCTACAATGTATATTATGTACAAATCACGCCCCCTCCTCTGAAAAAGATAACTGATACACACATTGTACACTGAAGTATATAGATGTTATCTTTAATGGGGGTAATGTTACACAAAACATGATTGTTACCTAATAAATTAAATATTTAAAATGATGGAGATTACCTGTCGATGGCTGCATGCATAAAGTGATATCACATGAGACTCCTTGAACCTTGTATAAATATAAATCAAGCCAGTGTGTCACTTACGAACACAGTAAATAAACCATACCAAGACTATATACTGTGAAATTGGAAAATCAATATCACGGATACTCGTGGACAACCCTACCCTTTCCCATCCCCCCTCATAAACAGTGGAGCCTCTTTAATCCGGACACCAATAATCCGGACGCTACACCTTTCGGACAACATTTGTGGGGGACAATTTATGTTGATCTATACCAAGATTGTTTCACTAATCCGGATCCTTCCTTATTCCGGCCAATTTGTTCAGGAACCCAAACGTTCACTTCAATAAAAAGATTTCTCAGAAACCAATAATCCGGACGCTACACCTTCCGGACAACATTTGTGGGGAACAATTTATGTTGATCTATACTAAGATTGTTTCAGTAATCCGGATCCTTCCTTAATCCGGCCAATTTGTTCAGGAACACAAACGTTCACTTCAAGAAAAAAAAATTCTCAGAATTTTATTTACTGCAAGCGGAAAAAAACAAAGAGAAAAAATAAATAAATAAAAATAAATTTAAAAAAAAATAATAAAAAATGAACAAGCAAAAATAAATAAATAAATACAACAAAGAAATGGACCCCCCCCCCCTCAGAAACTTATTTCTTTAAAACGATGTTTGTTCTGATCATGGTCAAGCAACTATGTAGTAACGTCGAGGTAACCAACAGGCGCGGATCCATAATTTTTTCCAGAGGGATCCACCTCAAACAAAAAAATTTCGAACCCAGAAATTTCTTGAAAAGCAAACAAAAAGAAAAACACACACACCCCGTTAAATCCATTTCCCGAACCTGAAAAAACCCATTTCGTGGGAGTGGGAGTGGTGGTGGGGTCTACGTTTTCTAAGGGGGGGGGGGCAAAGTATTTTTTTTTATTTCCTTCAGTATATACTTTAAATAACTCTGCAAATTCATTGGGGTGTGGACACCGACCCCCCTCTAGATCCGCGCATGACCAAACTGCATGCATATTGATTCACGTTTTCCCATTTTTTTCACGATATCTATTTTTTTACGATCAGAAAAGCCATAACTTCAACATTCGGCAAACTTCGGCTGATTCATAGGGGCTTGTCTTCCGGATTGTTAAATATAAAATAAATCTTAAAAATTTTGAATCTTCTTTAAATACACTTAATAAAAGTTGTTAGAATAGAGATTCTGACACTTTCAGTCAAGAAAAAGACGTACCACACCTATATACATAAACTAGAGATTATGTATATAGGTGTGGTACGTCTTTGTTAAACGTGGTTTTTCTTGACTGAAAGTGTCAGAATCTCTATTTTAACAACTTTTAAGTATATTTAAAGAAGATTCAAAATCTTTAAAATTTATTTTATATTTAACAATCCGGAAGACAAGCCCCTATGGGCTGATTCCGTCACCTTCATCAAACATGAGGTACGAATCGGCCGAGGTGTGCCGAGTGTAACTTCAAGTGATAAGAATCAATGTGCATATGTGCAAGTGATAAGAATCAATATGCATATGAGCCAGTTATATATAAGTGGTGATTAGATAACCGACTTGGAAGCATACAAGAACTAGCAGTGTTCCTTATATATACGTATTTACTTTTTTATCTCAGGGAATGGGGTTATAAAGGTGTAACCCCTGATTTTAGTGGCACTGTTCTTATTGACAAAAATAGGCAAATTTAAACAAGCATTCTGAGAGTATTGCATTAACAATACTAGTCTATGGCACGCCGATTGCTTCAAAATTATTTTCTGCACGACCTTAAACAAAAATTACACGAGTAAGTAAAAACTTACACAAAGTGAGGAAAATATACACGAAGTTATTGAAATTTAAACAAACTATAGAAAAACTGCACAATCAACAATATATTTACACGATATAGTGAGAAAATAACACAAACGTAAAAACGAAAACTGCACGAGTGAGAATACAACATCGACATACTACGCAACGCATCCTCATTGCGCATATTTCATTAATATTCATTAGAGAACAGGTCAATGTGGCTTGGATGCTTGAAACATACTATAAATACAAAAGGAGGAGTAACGTGTTAGTAATCTTTTTAAAAAAGATTCTTTTAAAATTCCACTAGACTCTCAAGAATATGTACAACGTATATTATACATGTAGATAAATTGACAGACACACAATCTTAAACTTGTAGTATATGAATACTCCCGAATAAAAAACATTCTACAAAGAATACATGTATAGATAACGTAAAAAAAAGGGGGGTGCATATTACAGTTGTGTTTAATTGTTGGATTGTTTTTAGTAGGTCATTCTTCTATATAGCAATTTCTTTTGAAAGTTTAAAACAATGGCATATAGGCCTAAATTAAAATAAATAAAAACAACATGTGATATAATACAGGAGAGTTAACAACAAATCAAACTCTTCTCCTCCACCACCCACTGAGTGTACTTTTGGTAATAATCAAGGATGTGCATGCGTGACCTTTTCATACAGAGATCCCTCCCTGCTGGTTCTGGAACGAAAGACATCTGTACGCTAATCGATTTATAGCTATTTCACACACCAATAATACCTTTTGATTAAAGATTACTGGCAATTCATACAAAGTTGCGATTATCTGGGTTGTGGAATTTGACCGAAAACTTTTTGGAAGTCAACAGTAAAGAAAATCAAGCAAATAATTGCGCAACTGAAATTTTAATATTGAAACGCATATCTCACTTTTTGATATATGTATGTAACAAAGTAGTACATGTAGTCTTAACTTTGAGCAACGTGTGGTGATTTCATAAAACTCCATGAAACTGTAGAAAAATTATACAGTCGTTTTACTTATGTGAATTAAAGCTTAATTTTTGTTGTTTTTAATGTACCGGCGGTAGTCTATTTTGAATAGTTAAAATGCATATAAAGGAGTGAAGAAAATTTAAAATTATAAAATACAGGCACGTAGTAACGTTTTTGAAAGGGGGGGGGGCAGCCAGAATTTTTTTTTTTTTTTTGACAAGCTACCTGAAAAAAACCTTGACAAGTAACAAAAAAGGTAAAGTGTCCAAACTCGAAAACTCCATTTCGTGGGGGGGGGGGGGGGGGGGGGTTCCCACCTTCCATTTTGTTTTCGAAACACATTATAATGCCAAATTACTTTGATTTAAACTATCCTACAACAAGGGGGAGGGGGGCAACCAGCTTTTCAGTGTTCATTTTCAATAGAAGTAGGTTGTGTTTGGAAAAAAAAGGGGGGGGGCTACTGATGCTACGTGCCTGAAATATTTTCTAAGAATTTAAGGGTACATATAATAGTCCATCGGAATCAGGATTGCAATTTAACTGATTTGTAACGATATTGTAAGACCAAATTCAAGAAGATGTACAAGATGAACTTAATTAGCTGGGACTTGGCTACACATGCATATTTATTTTCAATGCAGATTTTGGCAATAATAAATTTGCACACGGAAATAAAACAAAAATTTCTTGAAGTTTATATTCATCATATGTTTTCTTATATTTATTCGTAGTCATGCTCGAAATAAAAACAAGACCTGGTTGATGCCATTGATACACATGTACAATATTGCTATAAAGCAAACTTTTTAATTACTTGTACATATATACGTACAAAATTCATATTGCGTAGATTAGGCTTTTTAACTCGTAATCTGAATTTTCAAAAATGTTATAGATATGCACATGAATAATCTTTTAAAAAGTGAAGCTTGTATCAAATATGTTCCTTAAATGTTATTGAAGATTTTTTTCATTTTATAATTATACAGCCATGTTCTTTTTATAATGACTATATCTTTGGGTAAAAAAGTGTTATTACAAAAGACAAGTGTTCGGATAATAATTAAAATTTTATGCATACAAATTCGAAATGTAAAGAAAATTTGTTATCTTGGAAAATCTTTGTCAAACATCTAGCTCCATAAAGAACATGATTTTGCATTTTTCAAGAGCGGTAAAACACGTTCTATGTTCTTTCTATTTATTATAATATCCATTACCATTTTATTATTTGTAACATTGTACGTAGATGTATTTAGTAATTCACTATGTTTTAAAATTTCTGACGTATCATTATGGTCCGACGATTTGAAACTTTAATAAATACATAGATTCAGATGTTGCGACTCAATCAATCCACGAACCAGATCCGCCACTAATTAATGTCATTAGTTTTGCCGATGCCAGGATCATTTGAGTAGAGTTTTGTTATTTCATTTGGACAAATTTTAAGTAACAAAACACAAAACCGCATGTATATAAAGCACATAGAGTATATATTTTTCCTTTATCTGGTCCTTTTTATTAAAAGTGAACACATTTATCAAGTAATCGCCATTACGAATGAGGGTAACGCTTTCCCTTTATAGGAATGTCTTATTTTTTATTGAGCAGTTTTTGACTGAAAATATGCGATATCATGGAAGGAATTCATAACAGTGTAGGCTACAGATATCCAACCAAAATTGATATCCTCATATTTTATAAGTAAAGATACATGTATAATTAGAAATATTTTTTTTATGTTTGACTTTAAAAACATACTGTGTATATCTAAGGTCAGGTAATCCCCACTTATTAGTCTTTTTGAAAATAAAAAATATATCCAGCTAACTCCCAAATGAAAAAAGAATCTGCTCAAATGAAATCATAATGAGTACAAATGAGAAGTACCGAAATAAATTCTACAATTTAATGATTATAATCAGCAATAATTTTGCCATCATTTTCATGAAGAATCCACTTTATTAATCGTTTTATTATGCATGTTTTAATTTTATTTTATACAAGTAATTTCCGTTAAAGTTGTATCTATAAGTTAGATAATTTTAAAAGGCCATAGAGCGTATATTTAAAAAAGATAAATAAATAATTCTATCATTTTTTTAAAGCAAGATCTGTTTATCGTTAGGAATTTAGAGTTTGCTGTGTATTACGTTTAGTTCAGAGTCGAGTGCATCATATGCAATGGTACTCTTTCCCCCGCATTATAACACAAACATGCGATTTCTTTCTTGTCACAATTTATGTCCGGCATCATATAATACCTCCATAATTTGGCTAGGATCTCGGTCAATATAAGAAAAATATAATATCTCCGAACAACTTTTAATTTTTTTCACACAGTTCACAAGAAAACACTTCATTCGTTTCATTGGCATTAGCTAGAAATCGGATCGAGTTTTAGCAAAGAAATAAAGAAGCAAACAAACATGCATATCATCGTCAACGCCATTTTCTCTCGATTAATTACATCCAGCATTCAAGAAGAGATAAAGAGTACAGAAAACCAAGAACACAATGAATATTCTATGTGCATAATAATGATATGCGCAGCTGTATGCGCAGTAAAATTGTTTGTGTAATTTTTAGTTTCCTCTGCTCGTGCAGTTTTTGATTTTACGTTTGTGCATTTAATACCCATTAATCGTGTAAAAAATTTCGGATTCGTGTATTTTTCGTTATGTTTGTGTTAAAATCTTTCAAACTATGTGCAATTTTTACCGATACGTGCATTTTTATTTTACTCGTGTATATTTTTCATCAAGCTCGTGTATAAAATCGTGATCGTTGTGCAGAAAATAATTTTGAAGCAATCGGCGTGCCATACTAGTCCCCTACCGGCAAGTGTAATCTGGTTCCCGCTAAAAATTGAAAATGCCATAATTCCGTCAAAAATCAATGAAGCGGGACGATATCTGAACTTGATCTATAACTCATCAAGGTTAAGTCACATACCAAAAATCAGCTCAATATCTGCAAGCGTTAAGAAAAAAATTGTGGAAAACCCTGAAAAATTGAAAAGGTCATAATTCCATCAAAAATCATTGAAGCGGAACGAAATGCAAACTTGATCTGTAACTCATCAAGATACACTCAGTCACATACCAAAAATCAGCTCAATATCTGCACAGACAGACAGACGGACGGACAGACTCAGAGGAAACCTATAGTCCCCTCCGGTTTCAACGGCAGACCTGTGACTAAAAAAATGAAATATAAATCTGCCACAAACAAGTGTAATTAAGATAATTTTATTGTCACTTTGGAATTGCTGCAATATTGCTGAAAAGACTAACATTCTTTCATATTATATATGGCACATTTGTCAGTTGCGGAGGCGGGGGGGGGGGGGGGGGGGGGTCTTTCCAGTTATATGAATATGAGATATTAATAAATCACTGAGCAAGGACAATTAAAACATGTTTTGTTAAATATACACAGAAAAATGTTCCCTCTTGTTATGAAAGGTTGTAATAAATGAATGAAAGTGAGAACACATGATAAAAATATTTGCATTGCCATTATGGAATATGTACAATGTATAAACCTTATATTAACAAATTATGCATGCTATATTGAAGCATATTACAATTCAATTGATAAGATTTCTGTCCATTTTGTAGAAGTGAATTTGACTTATCCAGCCTTTTTATCTAGTTTGACAGTCTTATCTACAGATGGGTTCAAAAATTCCTTCCCAGTCATGTCTGTCACGTTGGTGCAATCTCTTATAGCAGAATTTGGAACCTTCATAAAAGTTAATAATTATGATTAATGCATGTTTCCCAATTTTGAAGTCAGAAATTCATAAACTTAAATGAAATTAAATTAAATTTCACAACAGCTGTTACAAGTTCTTAACATTCTGAAAAAAAAATTTCAATATTTTGGAATTTAATGGACATTACCTTTTCCAGGGGAGTGTACTGTGGATGATGATGAGGAATGACAGGGTTATTGGCCTTGGTATTGTATGCCACAAGAAATGCCCATCTCCTCAACTCACTGTTATTAGGGCCACTGGTATGTAACAAATTACTGTGAAAAAACAGTGCATCACCTACAAAATTGTGAAGAAAATTATCAATAGTTTATTAACTCACTTGATGAATTCCTTTCACTATCAAAATCAATGATAGCAATTTTGCTATAAATGATTAGTCAATTTTGAGGCAATTTTGTATATTTGTTATTTAAATAAAAGAAAAATGATGATGAACTCTATATAAAATTAGTGTCATATCCTAAATTTTGTTCTATAGTTTGATTTTTTTGTCAAAGTATGAGTACTCTGACAGTCTTTATGCAAATATAGCTGATATATTCTTGGTGACTGTAAACACACCAGGTTCCATTTCCACAAACTCCATGGGACACACTTTTTCAATTTCTCTCACTCTCTCTACATCTGCCCCTGTCTGGCCAGCGACCATCAAGTGTTCAATTCTTCCACATTTGTGAGAACCTCTCAGGATCTGGAAAGAATGAAGTTTTCACTGAAAAATCTTTTTTCTTGTGTTCTACAATTTATGATCAGATTTTCAATAGAAATATACCTGTAAGCAGCCATTTGCTTTGTTGCACTTATCTATTGCAATGAAAACAGTTAACAGGTCTGGGAACAGACAACCATTCTTGTACCAGTATCTGAATAACAAAATATCAATATACATACAGTAAAACTTGTCTAATCCAGATGTTGTGCAATCTAAAATCTTGCCTATTTATACAATGTAAATTTTAAGTCCCTTTCATAAAGTCTGGATTGGAGGTTTTACTGTAGACAATAACAATTATACTGTTATGCAATGTAAACTCTGTCCTGCAATGACATATATATGTATTGGGCTCTATCAAAAGACATTATGTTTACCCATAGTCCTGATGCCACAGGTGACTTCCTCCTGTTTTTGCTTCTTTCATCATAAGTTTGGTATGATAATGATACACTTCCCCTTCAAGTAACTGCAGAATAAATGAAAGTGATATTATATGTCTAAAAAATCACTGATGAAAAAAATCATCTTACACATGCAAAGGAGCATTATCAAAAAATTGATTAATTACTTGTAAAACACAACTGAAATTTAATTTGTAAAATTGTAGTTCAAGGAACAGCTAATACTATAGTTTGATACATAGGCAGTAATTATGACTTAAACACAAGTATTCACTATAAGTTTGTAGAGAATAAACTTACTGTAAAACATTTTACTAAACATTCTTGATTTAATAATACCTTTTCACTGGTATTAACAATTTTCTCACACCTTCCCACCATTCCTGTGACATCACTTCCTGGATGGCTCCACAGTGCCATCTTGCATTCCCTACCCGATCCATCAGAAATCTGTGGAAAATAAAAATCAAATAAAATGTCAATAAAAAATTCACATGAAACATCGTTTAATTCTAACAAGAGGCCCAAGGGCCTTAACGGTCACCTGAGTACAATACAACAATTTAGAGGATCCATAAACTGATAAATGAAGCTTTGTTGCCCAACAGCAAGAAAATAGTATGATTAGCATCAACAAAATAATTGGTCTAGTATCTATCTGCCCCCCCCCCCCCCCCCCCCATTTATCACTATTCCCATGCAGACTATTAACAAAATGTCTATTATTCAAGCCCATATTATTCCTTCTCACAATGGCCTCTCTTGGCCGTTGAAGAACATTTAAAAAGATAGGTTATTTTTGTCGCATTTTTATTCATCTATTATTTCCAAGTCATTAAAACTATGAAAGTACTTTTTTTATTATACAATAAATTTTCTTGCATAATTCTCTTATTCTATTAAGCTTTCAAATACATTATGTAAATTGATTAATTATCAAAGGTGAATGAAGGGGAATAACTTTGCTCAGTAGAATACAAGTTAATAGAGCCCTGGCCAGGACCAGAAAACTTGACTAAATGGTCCAGGTGTTCAAAATTCTGGTAAAAATACCCTTGCATATTAAAACTTTTACTCTGTTTGTCTTGAACATCCAAAGAAGCATAGACAATTTTCAAAGAAATGCATTTTCACCATATTATTAAATAAATAAAGCCCCATCCTTACACCAGAACATCTGACCCATTGGCCACAAACTCACAATTCTGGAAGAAGCACCCTTTCTCATCATAACTATACACTTGTTTCTTTAGTTTATAACCAGGAGTAGATAAAAAATTTTGAAAGAAATTAAGCATTTTCACTATATAAATGTAATCAATAGAGCTCCCCCCCCCCCCCCCCCCCGAACCCCTGACCCAGGGGCCATGAATTTCACAATTTTGGAAGAGGCATTCTTCCTTATCATAACCATGCACTTCCTTTGTTTGAAAAATACCCAGGAGCAGAGAAGAAGATTTTGAAAGAATTCATGCCCTTTCCCTATATAATCAATAGAGCCCCCCCCCCTCTAACACCAGAACCCCTGACCCTGGAAATGAAATTCACAATTTTGGAAGAGGCACTCTTGCTCATCATAACTATGTACTTAGTTATTTTATTTAATACCCAGGAGCAGAAAAGATTTTCTAAGAATTAATGCATTTTCACTATATAATCAATAGAGCCCCCCCCCCCCCCCAACACCAGAACCTCTGACCCTGGGGCCATGAATTTCACAATTTTGGAAGAAGTACTCTTGCTCTTCATAACTATGTACTTAGTTACTTTATTTAATAACCAAGAGCACAGAAAAGGATTTTCATAGAATTACTGCAATTCTACTATACAATCAATAGAGCCCCCCCCCCCCAACACCAGAACCCCTGACCCTGGGGCCATGAAATTCACAATTTTGGAAGAGGCACTCTTGCTTATCATAACTATGTACTTAGTTACTTTATTTAATACCCAGGAGCACAGAAAAGGATTTTCATAGAATTACTGCATTTTCACTATATAATCAATAGAGAGCCCCGCCCTAACACCAGAACCCCTGACCCTGAGGCCATGAAATTCACAATTTCGGAAGAGGCACTCTTGCTCATCATAACTATGTACTTAGTTACTTTATTTAATACCCAGGAGCAGAGAAGAAGATTTTCAAAGAATTCATGCATTTTCACTATATAATCAATAGAGCCCCGCCCTAACACCAGAACCCCTGACCCTGGGGCCATGAAATTCACAATTTTGGGAGAAGTACTCTTGCTCTTCATAACTATGTACTTAGTTACTTTATTTAATAACCAGGAGCACAGAAAAGGATTTTCATAGAATTACTGCAATTCTACTATACAATCAATAGAGCCCCCCCCCCCCCCCCCAACACCAGAACCCCTGACCCTGGGGCCATGAAATTCACAATTTTGGAAGAGGCACTCTTGCTCATCATAACTATGTACTTAGTTACTTTATTTAATACCCAGGAGCACAGAAAAGGATTTTCATAGAATTACTGCATTTTCACTATATAATCAATAGAGCCCCCCCCTAACACCAGAACCCCTGACCCTGAGGCCATGAAATTCACAATTTCGGAAGAGGCACTCTTGCTCATCATAACTATGTACTTAGTTACTTTATTTAATACCCAGGAGCAGAGAAGAAGATTTTCAAAGAATTCATGCATTTTCACTACATAATCAATAGAGCCCCGCCCTAACACCAGAACCCCTGACCCTGGGGCCATGAAATTCACAATTTTGGATGAGGCACTCTTGCTCTTCATAACTATGTACTTATTTAGTTTATTTAATACCCAGGAGCAGAGAAGAAGATTTTCAAAGAAATAATGCACTTTCACTATATGTTCTATATAGCCCCACCCTAGCACCAGAACCCCTGACCCTGGGGCCATGAATTTCACAATTTTGGTAGAGGGCTCAATGCTTATTACTATGATGCCAACAGTTTGACTGCTTGATGTCCTGGAGTAAAGAAGAAGATTTTTAAAGATTGCATTATTTTCAGTGGTTTTAGCCCCACCCCTCAGGTCCCAGGGGGGCAGGGACCATGAAATTCACCATTTTTGTTCCCCTTCACCCATAGATGCTATATGCCAAATTTGGTTGAAATTGGTTAAGCGGTTTCAGAGAAGAAGCTAAAAATGTTCAAATGTTAACACACGACGCACACCGCACGACGCACGCCGACGGACGAGAACAGATAGCAATAGGTCACCTGAGTGACTCAGGTGACCTAATGATGCAAATGAATATTTCTTATTGATAAAATAAAAGCAAGTTCCAAATTTTCAATTGAAGGTCATCATGTGGTTATGGATAAGCTTAATCATGAAAAAATTGCTGGTGTTGTAACTAATTTGGTGGGTCGTGTTGTTTCTTGTAAAAAACAAAATTTGTAAAACAATGTGTAATGAAAACTCACACCATAAGAATGCTTGGTAATTTCTTTGTTGTCTTCAAGCACCTCTTTCACCTTTTGTAGCTCAGTACTATCAAGAAGTTTTCTGTAAGAAAAAATTGTATGATTCTTACGTAAATAAAGATTATTGAGAAAACCATTATCTACCTCATGTACCAGAATAAGAGTCAAAACTGTTAGTTAATAGAAAATTGATTCACAGATACAACAAAATCATAGCATTAGCTATATGCATGTACATGTATCTCCGACTTTAAAAATTCCTCATTGAAAGATGACTTGTCTTATCCACACATTTTCCTTCTCCTTGGCAGTGTTTTCCCTTTATTTCAAAGTCAAGGGTTAGAGATAAATAGTAACAGGCTAGGGGTTGAGGTTTACAAACAAAATCTCTGTGGACCTTTCAACAATTATTTTTCAAATTTTTTATTTTAAGCAGCATTTTTTTCAGTTGAAGTGGTCAATTTGGCCAGTAGCTGGTTCTTAGGGAAAACACTAATTTGGAAAGAATTTTTTACCTCTCACATGCAAGAAATGTGAAGGATTTTTATTCATAAATGATTGTACAAAATTTTATTAATCAAATGCAATATATCTCTCTTTTACTTACCTGACCATTATGTAACCATAATTGTCAAAATCTTCCTTCATTTTATCAGTAACTTCAAACTTTACGTCCTCGTAAACATACTCTACATAAAAAGAAACTGATTAATATTCTCTCAGAATTTAACAGAACTGTTTGCATAGGCAAAATAGTTGGAACTGCTTTAAATTAACATTAGTATTCAGCATTAGATTTAGTATACCGGTAGCTTTTATTCCTGAACTGTACTTATCATAAACAAATCAAATATATAAATCACTTTTTTATTCTCAAAAACTTTATTTTGTGTAATTAGGCAAGCCAGTTTGCTTGAAAATTTCATCCTAGCATATACATTTGTGAAAATTTTGTCTCGCTTAAAAATACTACTGACAATCTTGCAAAAAGTAATGTGTAGCAAAAATTTGGGGATGTTTTATAAAATTTATTTGACTATTGATTATGCAAGGAATTACCTCAATACTACATGCTTGAGTCGCTTAAATGCCAAAGAGTATATACAGTCAAACCTTGTTATCTCGAACTCGATTGGACCAAGTAAAAAACTCAAGATATTCAAGGATATGATTATATCACATGTAAATTAATTAAAGAATATGTGGTTGGGACTTCCATATCACTTTGACATGTCCATGGTATTCGAGATATCAGTGTTTCGAGATAATGAAGTTCAACTGTATATGTCTTGTCATTTCAAAATTTCAGCAAGAACAATTAATTTTTTAATGAATCGATTGATAGATAAAAATTTGTATTTAATATAATTAAATAATATACCAGCTGATGTCATCTTTTTTCCTCTCTGAAACGAGAAAAGCTCTGTAAAAAACTATCAAATAGTATACAGGCTGTATGCACTTCTGTCAATAAGAAGAGGTATACTCGGTGATTTTTAGAAGCTGTAGATATTTTCACCAAGGTATTGAAACAAAATAATGTAATCGTCCGTTCTTTTTCTAAGCTACAAATAGACCTGAATATAAGCAATTAACACAATAAACTCAATTCACAATCCATAACACAACCGTTACAGCAAATTACGCCCCTTCCCCGATTGATAATGTAGCCTTTCGGTGCACGACCTGCTAATCCGTGTAAAATCTTAAAAACAATCCAGTGACATTCTAGTTTACAATATAATTGACTATACCCGTTCAAATAGCGCTAAAATAATGATTACCTTAAAGTCTAACTCTAAGTACAGATGACTGTCACCACAAAGTGAAACTAATCTGGTGCTTATTTACGTTTTATTGAATTCACTCCCCATAACTGTGACATGACTCTTGAGAGATTTACCTTATCATTACCGTACTTCGCTTATAATAACTTCTGTTCTAACCTTCTTAGCCAACACAAAACATTTTGTTGTTAATTTTTATGACCCCGTAATCGAAGATTCGGGGGTATATAGTTTGTGCCCTGTCGGTCCGTCTGTCTGTCTGTTTGTCCGCAAAAACTTTCACATTGTCAATTACTTTTGATTGGTTGGCTTTCATATTTCACAGGTGTATTCATTGTGACATGACCTTTCTTTGGATACCATCATATTTGACCTTTTGACCTTGACCATGAATTTTTTGACCCAGTTTTGCAAAATTTTAACCAACTTTCATCATGGTTCCTTTTGGCTCCAGGAAGACCTAAGCAATAGTCCTCCAGCGCACACTGTTTAGGGTTTTGGGCAACCTTTTTCAGTTGTCCCCAGCTATGTCCACACTAGCTTTTTGATTTCCTCTTCGCATGACTTTTGCCAAGATGTGCTGGGACGCCCGACCCAACGTTTGCCCTGGGGGTTCCACTCAAGAGCGTGGCGTGTAATGTCTCCCGATGGTTTTTTAAGGGTGTGTCCAATCCAGTGATCCACCGCCACTTCCTACGGGCTATTTGCTGAGTGAGCGGGTCTTGGTTTGTTGCTTTCCACCTGTTCCTGTTTATTTTTTCTGGCCACCTGAAGTTTAGTATGTGGCGCAGACATCTGTTTGTGAAGGTCTGTAGTGTGTTGGAGGTGGTGTTCGTGACTCTACACGTTTCTGAACCGTAGAGAAGCACAGACTACACGTTACTGTTATAAATACAGAGCTTGTTGCATATGGACAGTGCTTTTGATCTCCACACTGGTTAGAGGGTGATGACAATGATACCTAAGTATGTGATGGAGTCTACGTCTTTCGGGTTATGCTCTCCAAGAGTGACTGTGTATGCTGTTTGTTTTTGAGTAACATGACCTCTGTTTTCTCAATGTTGACCTGTAGACTTGCCTTTGTTGTTTCTCTTGGACAGCCTGTCTGTCTTGAGCCGCATATTTCTGGGCCCCGTTTTGCAAAAATAACTTAAGACTTAGAACAAATTGTAACAAAAATGTAATTCTGAAAATAACTTTCTTTTTTTAGTTCACTGGACTCCTGTCTTGCGATTTCTTGTGGTTTCTCGTATGATCCAGACCACCACCATTAGAGAGATCATCGGTTATATCAAACAGCCTTGTTTTAACCCTGTCTGCACCTCAAAGGCTTTCTGTAAGCTTACCGCTGTGGATGACGTGGCATGTCACGTCGATAAAATTGTTGTATGAGGATGATGGTCGATGGCATTCCACAATACAGTTTGATTGTTTGTTTATTGTTTAACGTCCCTCTCGAGAATTTTTCACTCATATGGAGACGCCACCACTTGCCAGTGGAGAGCTGCAAATTTTGACCTATACTCGGCACTCAGGGCCATTTAGCATGGAGGGAATCTTTTCGTGCCAGTACCTACGTATACTATGACACGGGACCTCGGTGTATACGGTCTCATCCGAAGGACCGGTCTCCACGTCCCACAGTGGGATTCGAACCCGCGACGTAAGGACCAACTCCTTACTCCTCGACTCTAGAGCGAACGCTCTAACCACTGCGCCACGCGGGCGACTCCATAATACAGGAGTAGGTTCCAGATGACTTTTCTGTCATCACTATCAAATGCCTTCTGAAAGTTGATGAAGTTAAGATACAGTGTTATCTGCCACTCTAATGACTGTTCAATTGTTATGCGGAGAGTGGCGATTTGGTCTGTACAGAACTTGTCCTTTTTAAAGTCGGCTTGTTCTGGACAAAATCGTTCTTCTATGGCATCTTTTAGTCTTTCCAGTACTATTCTTGTCAGAATCTTGCCTGGGACAGAGAGAAACATTATGCCACGCCAGTTCTAACGTTGTCCCAAGTTCTCATTCTTTAGGAATTTCACCTGAAGTCCTTTCTTCTAATCGGCTGGAACATGTACCTTCTCCTCTGACCAGATCTTCTGCAGGAGAGGCAGTATCGTACCTGCTGAAGTCTTTATCTCTGCCTTGGAGGGATTCCTTCAGGCTCAGCTGCCTTTTCATTCCTCTGCTAAATCAGATTCTGTTGTTGGTATGTTTGATACTATTTCAAGTGTAGGGAGGATTAGGAGTTCTCTGAAGTACTCCACTCAAAGCTTTCTCAGGTCTTCTTCCTTTGTGATGGGGTTTCCTGCCTCATCTTTCCCTGACTTGGTCAATGGTGGTCTCTTCCCAGCCAAAGTTCTAGTGACTCCTTACAGGGTGCTGAAGTGTCTTTTCTATGCTGTTTCCTAGCTTCTGTGGCTAGTGCATTATAAAAGAGTCTCTTATCTTTCTCTGAACTTTTCTTTACTTCGTTGTTTAGTGTAGTGTATCTTTCTTTTAGTTCTTGTTTCTTTTGTTCATCCTGATAATCTGCTGCTCGAGAAAGTTCCATGTGCCCCCAGAAAGCCATTCATCGTGTTTCTCTTTTCCCTCGGATCTCTTCAGATGTGTCTCTCGGGGTGTCTTTGATTGAGTTCCAGTGTTCTTCTTGTTAAAAAGAAACGGGATCCAGAGGACTGGTGGTTTTCTGTTAGGTTTTCCTTAGTCACAGGTTCCAGTTATTTAAAGGTATCGGAGACTCGCCTTTTGCAACTGTCACTCAGCTACTGAAATCATGCCAAGGGTCACCTCGAGAAGGTGTGACATGTGACTAGTTGGCAGAATATATTTTAGACGGTAGGCATTAACAAGAGGTTTTGATGATGTAACCTAGTGACATTCGTTTCAGCTCTCGAGACCTTTACCAGCCTTTGACCCTTTCTTCTGGAATGTGTCTATCAAACTGTTGTTTCTTTTTTTTTGCTCATTTTGTATGTTTCACTTCCATATAAATGTACTGGTAATACAAGCGTTTTGTAGTTTTAATTTTGTTTCTGGCTTTTGTTTTACTTTTAGGTTTTAAATTTTGAAAAGACCTGTAAATATTGGCTCTGATATGGCCAATGATCAGATCCATTTCTGTCATTAATTATAATTTTGTATATATCATCTGTTTGTTTTTTAAATCACTTCATGCTGTTGTTAAATGTTTTTAAAATGGTGATGAGATACAAATCAATGAATGAATGAATGTCACAAAAATACTGTAGGCAAGTAAGTCAGCACATTTGACGATGAAAACCAATCAATCTAAATGAGGACATATTTGAAATCTATACTAAAAAGAAATCTGCTCTTATATTTATGAATTATATGTATATACTAAATGAACACTGTTTCAGGCAAAGAAGAGAAACACCAGTATTTTTATTAAATCTTTATATTTTGTTTTGCTATTGCGTCGTAATATGGACATCAACCATACTTGGAGTGTGCTTATAAATTAATTGGAAACTTGTTCATTTGGGTATATTTCAATACTTTTTATGAACGATTTTAATTACTTTTACTTACTGCGTTCGTGCATGTACCCTTACCATTTGACACAGAAATTTGACGTTACAAATAAATGCAACATCATACCTGATAAATATTTGGTATGGAGTTATATTCCTTTATATAAGGAAATTGCCCGTGCAGTTTTATTGTGTAAAGGTTGATCAGAGAGGCTTTTACTATTTAATTAACAGAATTATGGAAATTATTGATTAAAGTAGATACATTTGAATCAGAGTGTGAAATCCCATTTGTAAGGAATTAGCACAGTCTACGTCATCGTGATAGAGAAAAGAAAGGTTAATAACTGGGAAAAGGCTAAAACCACATCACAACTTTGATTTTTTCCACCGTTTTGATCCGTTCCAGCTATTACAGTTTATAAGATTTCAATCAGTGGATAACTATACAATGAAAATTGGTTTCAGATTAAAAAATCAACTGTAAACAATTATTCTAAAGAGTTATGTACATGTAGAATATGTTATGATTACAACCATATATCCATTGCTCATTGCAGGCGTCGAAGCTAGATCATGTCAATGTAGAAGTATCTTGATCATCTAAAAATAAACTTTTTCTTCCATGTATAACCTTTTTGCAAATATAACCCTGATAATATACCCCCACTAGGAATTATCTCGTTAACACGATTCTTTTTTTTAATTTGAAAGTTCAATACTCACTGATACTTTATTAATATTTGATTAAACCCTTCTGTGTTGACATCGATTCATAGATAAAAAAAAAAAAGAAAATTGTTTTTCGACTAGTCTTATTCAAACAAGTATCTTTCAAACTATGCTGCGGAGCGTATTGACTTTTTGCTCAAAACATGGAACGGAATATCATGGATCAATGATTCAGAGGGAGAAGCTTTTGTCCTTTGAACCCAAATATAACCGGTATTTGTGTTTTGTCGGTCGTAAATGAATCGTCTCTTCGTTTTACGTTCTATTTTTTTTAACATCCGACTGTAATCGATGCTTTTCCATTGTTTGTAACAACCACATGCATTGGGAAATTCCTCTTTGATTATTTTCGTGGACTTGTTGCAGAAATCGATTGCTTTTTCGCTGTATATAACTATAGACGGCCTGTTATCGCGGGTAATTTTCACATTTCAACTAAATACTCAGGTAAATATTCCATATGTATGCTGCTCAAGATCGCTTCGATGGATAGAACAACAGAAAATTAATCTAGGTTTTAAAGACAAAAGGGAACTTACTGCTCAACAATTGTGAGTAAAAACATGCTGTTGGTCATTTGGAATAAGAACTTTTTCTCGAAGTAATATCTCACAGAGATGCTAAATATTCGATCAACAATGTACAGAATAATTTGTTGCATTCTTATTTGAGAACTCTGCTGATTAAATGGCTGTTGGGTGAATTGATTCAGAACATTTACTGATCAGTTCATTTTCAGTCTTAATGAAAACAAATCTATTGAAGTGAAATTGAAGCGAGTTATGTACAGAATCTGTTGTACTCTTGCTGGTTGACATTTACGATGATTAAGCGTAGCATATGTAATTGTAGACAAAAACATTTTCATGTAAAAATTGCTCTGTTCTCTTTTAAAAATTAATTTCTCAGTAGGAGTAGGAAAGGTTTTATTATAATTCTGTTTTAAAATAATGTCTATCATATGTAAGATCCACATTTTTTGGGAAAGAATTTACAAAACATTTTTGATTGTATTGAATGCTTTAAGCTACACATCTAATGTTAAGAACATTTATTTTGATTTTATTGTGTAAATTCAAAATTTACAGCTTGATAGAAGGACTTAGTAGCCAGAGACATATAAAAACCATATGTCTCTGTTAGTAGCCAAGAAAAAAGGTGATTTCATGGGTGATTTCATAAGTATAGATTTTTGTTTAAGGACCATATATGCACTGCTCACTGCTCAAAGAGTTATAATTCCATGGTATTTTTAGTTAGACTGATCTGCCCTTAGATCTAAATAAAACAAACTGAAATCCACACAATTTTACTCAGTTTATAGTCGATTCTAGCATTCTTTACAGTTTATTAAGCCAATGTAGAAAAATTAAATACTTTATTTGCATGTATTGTCCCATTTTTAAGACTTTCGATCCTATTAAAGCTTGAGCACATTTTTTTTGTCTCGACTTCTAGGCAGCAAATTCTGCATCATATTTTTGTTCTTGCACTATATTAAGAAACAAACAAAGTCCGTTTTCTTTTTTTTCTATGTGCCGAGTAATGAGCAACACATCTTGATGTTGATTAAGACAATATGAAAACTGTATACATGTATATAGAAACAAAAAGGAGGTTTGACTTCAAAATACGTCATTTTGGAATAGGGAAGAAAGAAGACAGATCATAACTCTCATACCTATATGTGTACACAGGTTAAAGTGAATGTTAACCCCCTCCCCCGGTTGGCGTTGTATATCCGCATACATGTATAATACACACATCCTACACGGAGTATATTGATTCTGCGTTAATGAAGTAGGTGAAAAATCATAGAGTTCAAAGTATTTTGAAACTGCTTCTATGGAAGTATTCAATGATTAATGCATGTGTTCAAATATGTACATAAATGCGTCATATGCACTTATCAGACTATGAATGACTCGACTAATTTGTTTCATCAGCAATAGTTTGAAGGATGGGCATTTTAAAGAAATGTTTGTTTGAAATTATGTCAATCGAAAGCGTACAACATTGAAAAGATATCAATAATAATAGACTTTTGAGCCGAAGAATCAACATTCGGTAATTTTTAGTATCCAGGCAAACAAACACCTGCTGTTTCAAATTGTATTCTACATGCAATCCCATTGAAATTATGTTTGCAATAGGATGAAGTTTGTCGATTGCAAACTTCTAATTTGAGATATTTTGATAACTTCGAATCTGATTATAATGTATATCCTATCGATTATCTATTTGCGCCTGATTATCGTGTCATTACTACACATAAACATGCAAGACCATGTGTATCATTGCAGAACCTGTAATTTCCTCTCGCAATTAATCAATTCTATTTGAAATATGCAGGATGTCAGCCAGAGATAACACATTTAGATGATGTTTCAAATGTTGTCATTGGTAACAATTCAATAAATTATCCATCTCGGAGCAAGAATTGTACATTAATTACCAGACTTTCATAGCAATTATTTCTGATACTGGTATATGTATGAAGTGACGAAGTTAATTGCTCTTATTTTCTCCGCAGGAAATCAAAAAAAATGGAGGATTCGTGGAGAAGCGACATTGCCTTGCTTATTCATGGTGCTTTTGAAGAAATGTACAGAGAGTGTCGGCACACGGATGTTGATGTCATTGTAGACGATAGGACCTTCCGGTGTCATAGAACGCTTCTTGCCGCAGTGTCTCCTTATTTCGACGCCATGTTTTCGTCTGGAATGAAAGAAAGTATTGACGGAGTAGTGACACTACATGGAGTATCCAAAGTAAACTTTGAGAGTATTGTGAAATTTATTTACTCAGGATCTAAAGTTGTAACAAAATCTAATGCAGAGGAGCTACTGAAAGCAAGTGCCCTTTTCCAAATTAAACAACTGCACGCAAAATGCGAACAGTTTTTATTAGAAAACGTAAACAATGAAAACTGTATTGGGGCCTGGAAGTTAGCAAAATCTCATGAATGTCCTAAATTATCAGAGAAAGCCTGGGGAATTATTATGTACAATTTTCAAGATATATGTCGATCTGAAGATTTCCAGTGCCTTGATAAAGACGACTTGATAGAAATAATAACTCACGAAGACTTGCACATAAGTAGCGAAGAGTTGGTCTGCGACTCTGTGTTTAGGTGGTTCGGAGCGGATCCAGAGGGGAGGAAACAGGACACAATCCATCTTTTTGAATACCTCCGACTTCCACTGCTCGGTTCTGAATATCTTCTTCATGAAGTTGAACCGCTGGATATCGTGAACGAAAATTCGCGTTGCAGAGAGATCGTCAAAGAAGCTATCCAGTACCAGATGTTGCCTTCTAGAAGATGGGACCTAAATTCTCCTCGAGTGGCCTTCCGAAAGTATGCCTCTGTTGAAGATGTTCTCATCGTCATTGGGGGATATAATGCAGTTGGAGAAAAGGTTGTCGATATGTTGGCATATAGCTTTCTCCAAGCAAAGTGGTTCTTTCTCACACCAATACCGATTCAACTTGGTCGAGAGTTTGCGTCTATTGTCTATGGTAACGATATATTCGTTTCTGGAGGATCCCAGAAACTCGACTGTCTGCTTCGGTACCGCGCAGAAAATAATGATTGGTACAGATGTACATCGCCTGTTCAGGGCAGGAGAAGACATGTAATGGTGGCTGTCTGCGAAAGCATATTTGTCCTTGGAGGATATGACGACACAATCAAAGACGAAAGCAAGCGTACTCTTTCTTCGGTGGAGGAATATCTTATCAACGCGCGAACTTGGCGGAAAGCAGGTGACATGGTACATGCAGTCCGCTCTATGTCGGCTGCCGTATCCAAAGAGAAAATATACATCTACGGCGGAATCCTTTCGGATGATAAGGATTCAGACCACATTCAATGCTTCGACACACGCCTTTCAACGAGCTCTGTTGTGTCTTTTCTGCCTTCTCCATGTAAATTAACAAAAACCGTGGTGTGTGATAAGCACATCTACATTGTATGCACGGATGGCTCGATTTTAGAAATGTCTGACCAAGGGGATGCCAAATGTGTTCACACAATGAAGTATTTCAACAGACGACGATTTGGCGCGCTTCACAGAAAAGGAGGATTGTTATTGGTCGGCGGTGAAAGCGGAAATGCAATCAGTCAAAAGATAGTTTTCTTGAACCCCGACAAAAATTGGACCGAGTACACGTACAGTACAACCATGCCCGCGAGAGCTAACTTTGGAAGTCTTATCATTATATTGCAGAAGAAGTATTTAACCCGAACATTCAAATCCGATTAACTGAATCAAATTAAGAACGCAATGCGTTCTGTACAATTTAATTACTAGTAATGCATTTTCGATTTTTCTTAAGGAATTGTTTAATTTACATAAATTAAGTTATCTCATTTGAACATAACATTAAATATACCATCATGTACATTCTATTCATTACTATAGTAATATAAGTATTATTTTTATTTCTTTTTGGGGGGGATTACATGTTTTGCGTGAAACGCATTTATGAACAACTGCATTTGCATGATGTTAAGAAAAATATTTAAAAAAGAAAAAAAAATTGTATTTATATTTAAATATTTATTGAAAAACTAAAATGTTGAATATTTAAATCAAATATCTGTCAGAAAAAAAGGCCAGTTAGAGTGTAATCTATTAGAAAATGATTTAAGAATAAAACGTTTCCCTTGACCTACATGTAAATCCTTCGCTGACCTAACCCATTCGTGTGACACGTTATTTTATCGACAAAAGTGCCTGTTGACTGACACACATCAAAACAAAAGATATTATACACCACCTAACTAAGAAATTCAAACTGACAATTAAATTCGATCGCATTTCAATCCAAAGATTAATAAATCTTGTGAAATAATTCCTTAATCCATATGATTAATCCGAAGAGATCGAATGCTTTTCAACCTGCTAAAGAATTGTGTACTAATTCCCCTTGTAATTTTTGGCACTGTTTGATATACTTAAATTTTATGATCAGACGTTGGATGAAGTTTATTAATTGAAATAATAAGTGTTACAGTAAAATGTAGAACACGCCGTATTGCCAGCTTAAAATGCCTTCTATCCCTAATTGTTATTAAGGTGTGTGCTGTCGAGTCAGAGTGTACCATTTTGATAGCCATTTGAAGAAAATGTTTTAATCATGACTTGACTGCACAAAAATAAGGATTGAAAAAAAAAATCAGTCTACAGTTGGAATCCCTTTTGATTCTTAAGGTATGATATACAATTTTTGCAATATTTATAGCCAAGTTTGATTTTACTTTCATACCTTAATATTCTAATGATAAAAACAAATAATGGTACATGGTTAATTTAACAAAATTATGTAATGTAGTTTAAAATGAGGTATTGTTCAATCTCGACAATTTTTGTCCTCTCTGTGTAGATGTCGCTCCTTCTGATAAAGACACAAGATCTGACATGGCAAGACCGGGCTCTGAACATGGAAGTGATGCTAGAACCAAAGAAAACACAGCTCTTGTTCAAGAAAAACAAAACTCTCTCCATGCGGTGCGAAAAAGACAGACAACGATACGACAAACAAAGAACAGCAACCATACGGAATTATAAGACAGAGAAAAGATATATGGATGAACGAAACCAAGAACTCTACATCGTTAAAACTCAGAGGTTCTTACAGAGCATTCCTCCGGATATGAAGCAACAGGTTCTAAGCAGAAGATCATTTTCTATTAGTTTAACCAAACTTACCAAAGATATCAATGATGAAACAAATGCTAGAGCCTCGGCTCCGCCAAACATGGTAGGAATAATGTCTCGAGAGGAAGAAACGGTACTGCCCGCCATTACGCTGCAAACACCGGAACCGAGTCCTAGGATACAGTATCAACGACAGGCAAAGTCCTCGATGAACTTATCTTCCCATAACTGTGTAAAAGATCTTTCTGCTTCTGCTAATGACCTTGATGGTACCCCTGAATCTCAGAAGTCAAGTCGGAACAATACACCGATACCAAGCTATCTTCCATCCGTCCAACAACCTTTGCCCAGTGGAATAATGAAGGATCAAAGAAGAAACTCGGCAAATCCTTTGCTCACAGACAGAACTGTTAGATTTGCAGAAAAAAATAAGGAAGAGAATAAAAATGCAAAAGAACCGAGGGTTGATCTGTATCAAGAAGAGAAAAATCGAATTGAAAATCTAAAGCCTAAAGTGCAGAGAAAAGTTAACGCTTTCTTAATGGAACAAAGTAAATTCAATAAAAGGGCTCCGATCCCAAAGACTGAATTGCCGAGGAGGAACAATGTAGAAGACTTGTGCGGAATTTCTAAAACCAGACTAGTCAGTGCATTTGACGATTTTTGCGAATTGTCAAATCGAGATAATTTTCAAAAACTTGTGAAATATGCTACGAAGTACAAAGTAGCCTCTCATTTGTCTTCCAAAATTGTGCCTTCGGTGGACACAGTGAAAGCATCCCGGTCTTTTCTCATGATACAGAATCAAATGGGAAATCAGGCGCGAAATCTCGTTCAGGGCACGTGACAAAGCCAAAAATAATAAAACACTTGACACGGCACTCTAGGTAAAAATTACATGTCTTAATACTTTTGATTTGGAAAGAGATCGAGTCGTTTGTAAAGGATAAAATTAACTTGATTGCTTTAGTTGTGATATACGTATGAAACTATTTTTGAATATCAGAGAGACGCGTTCTGAGTGACATTTGATAAAGTGAACAAACATGTTGGCATCAAATTTGTATGTATCTTTTCAGACGTGACGCTGTTGGAGAGATCGTTGTCTGTACTGATTAAATGTCAGCAATTCAAGCTGATTAATGATTTAATATTTTGAATGGCACATGTCTCTATTGAAAAAAATCTATAAATTATTCGGTACAACGGTGCTGATGAAAGCTTTCTGTATCCGCTATCTAAGCTATACGTTTCCTTTGCGTCTTATGACACAGATCTTTTGAAGTTCAAAGAAGCAAATTAAGAAGAAAATTCCTTCATGAAACAAACTATGAATACATTTTTATATTTGACTTTTTTGTCAGTATTAGATAACTATGCCAGTAGAATCGGAATTATACCTGCATAACCGCTGTCGTCTCACGTGACCTCTAAACTATTTCTTTGCTTTGAGAAGTTGTATGACGGCCAGGCAAATTCGTTTGCTGGTTGTCAGACAACTTGAATAGTTGATAGACAGCTGTCTAAATTTCATGGTACCTGGTTCAGAACCTAGTCTATTTTCCCCCTCCCTTCCGGTTATACTCGTGAAACGTAAACATTGTAAAATATAAATATTTATATATATATACTTCTGTAAAGAATAGAAGCAATGGAATTTATATATTTTTAATAATAAAGGTATGAATTTTGAATATATCTAAGCAACACACAAAAAGATATATAAAGGTTTTTTCAATAAAAATATAACTCTGAAATTTTCGTATCTGGTGATTGGTCATCAACAAAATTACAATGTACTCTGTTGAATACACTCTGGTTGTACACAAACGTACTCTAAAGTTAATATTAAAAAGATGCCGGAGTTCCTCATTGACAACATTTAGGAAGTCTTCGGATGGAATTTCGATGGTCACTATTAGTGTTCCTTTATTAGCCCACTTGTTTTTATATTCCTTTGAAGCAGAATTTATTTAAAAGAAAACACTGCAGCCTTCATCTCGATATTCAGATATATCGATGACTTTTTTTCAATTAACAATACATGTAGTTACTGTAGTAACTTCCATTTATATGTCGACTCGATATATCCCAGTGAAACTGAAATAAAAGACACTTTGCAATTTGTCTCAAACGAATCAGACAAAAGTCTTATAAACTATGAAGAAATAGATTTTGAAATACTGAACAAGATTGACAGGTGCTACTTCGATTCATAATAATAACAGAATTAATTTAATTTATCCTGAAATACTTAAAAGTTGTACAAGAATACCCTAAATTCAAAAGGGAAATAAAAGGAAGACGCTTAGGGGGAACTCTTTGAATGCACAGGATAGAAGTTGTAAGCCAGACAAGATGTATAATCAGAAGATAAAATAGTCAGTCCTGTGTTTCAAAATTGAACAATTTGCCATTGTCCACTTTAATATTGACTGAACCATTTTCCGTCTTATTGGTATTTGTGATTTTTGATCTTGATCAAAAATATATATTTTTAATTTGAACTTGACCCCTTTCCGACATAATGCTTTTCTTATAACTTTGGTCCCCCCCTCTCCTTTTCTTTTAACTTCTTTTTTTTTCTCTTTCTTTGACATTTCACTATTATTTTGTATCTTAACAAATAAGATTTTTATGTTTTTATTCATTCATTAATAAGTTTGAACGATTAAGTTATTTAAATTTACTTTAATCCTGTCCAAAGTGTTAAAAATACAATGGGATAAACCCATATTTATTTAATCCTTCTCAGCGGCGAAGAGTAAGAGGAATGATTAGTCAAATTTAAACCCAATTGGAGACAGCATACAGCATATCATGAAAGAATACACAGGAAAATACTTATATATGTATATCATTGACTTTGCCTATTACCCAATCCTTGCGTGTTTGTAACATACCCCGATAATAAGCATCTATAATAAGCATCTATGGTCTTTTAATTAAAAACAATCTTGAATTCTGCCATATATAGAAACTTTTCAGACAACGTCAATGTAATGTACTGACCAACAGTACAATATTTTACATATTTTCATCCACTCCATACAATACATGTACTTTATACAGATATAAATATAAACAATACAATGTTTTCTTTCTTTCTTTGTTTCTTTGTTTGTTAGTGTGGGGATAACGGTTGCGACATTGCAGAAAAAAAATGCATAACCTGCGTATGCGTCAGCATCCAGCAACCACTATTATCTTTAATTTAGATTACGATAAACATACAGTATTACATTTGGCTGCGTATTCTATTTAGCGCTTTAGCTGAAGGGAGCTTCCGCTAAATCAAGTCTTGTGTACATGTATGCATGTATAATAAATCATATTCAGAAAGCGCTAAATCAAATCTACATGCCAAATAAAACACATCATTTACAGTATCTCAGCAATAGATTGAACACCAGATTTTATCCTTAAATAGGGTTACCCAAGTGTAAACATTAAGCTGTGTACTTTCGAAATTAGTCTGAGATATTAATTAAAGCGTGAAGTTCTTTCAAAGACTTATAATCCTCTTCTGTGACTATTTTGACATCAGTGTTTCATAAATAAAACAAGATCAAAATGTATCGCTGTTATGTACACATGCGATCAATTTTTTCATGTGTCTGCAAATGCCAAATTTCAAGTCTCTAAGGACTTCCTATATTGCGGGGTAAAGAAGAATAATTATCTAATTGATAACCCAAAGACTCTTTTATAATAAATTGTTTTATCAGATTTCATAAAATAGTTTCCACCGTTGTAAATATTTAAAAATCAAGATCGTTTTCTTAGCTGGTGTAAGAAAGAGATACACACATAAATAAACAACTACATGAGGATGCTTCCATATCAGTGTAACTAATGGTGTTGCTGTTCTCGAACAGAAGATTTTTTTAGATTTTTTCCTATCTATTCCTATGTATACTTTGATCCCCCATTTTGGCCCCACCTTACCCCCAGAGGTCTCTATTTAAACAAACTTGAATCTATACTATGTAGAGAAGGTTTCCTATAAGTTTTTGGCCCAGTGGTTCTAGAGAAGACGTTCTTAAAAGATGGCACCTAATTTTCACTATTTCTAAATTTTCTCCCCTTGAGAGAGGGCATGGTCCTTCATTTGAATAAAACTTGAATCCCCTTCACATAAGGATGTTTTATGGCAAGTTTGGTTAAAATTAGCCCTGTGGTTCTTGAGAAGAAGTGAAAATGTGAAAAGTTTACGAATGAAATATGAAGATAACGAACAGTATTCAATCTGGAAAGTCCAATGAAACGATACAAATTTGGAGCAGAGCAAACACGGACCTCAAAATTTCTTCCCTGTATTTATCCGGTCCACAGTAAACGTGGAGAATGAGTAAAAATGCTGCTTAAGATATATTTTCCCACTAGCCCTTGCCACTCTCTCCCTTCTCTCTACTGCCCACTCCCTCTATGCCACTCTCTCTCTCTCCCACTCTATCAACCACCCTCAGCACTCTCTCTCCCACATTCTCTGTCCCTTAACCACTCACTTTCTTGCTCCCACCTCTCTCTTCCACTCTCTCTCTCACCCACTCTCTCTCCTCCTCCCAATTCTCCTCCTCCCCCTTTCTCTTCTCTCTCTCCCCCCTCTCTCTTCCCCACCCTCTCTCAGCCGTTTCCTCTCAACCACTCTCTCATACTCTATTTTTTTTTACTATTTCGTTCTATGAAATAAACTGTATATATGCATTATACATAGATAGTTTTTTACAATAAAAAATAATGAAAAAAAAATACTTATTCTATAACAAATAGAAAATTCTTATGATATTTTAAAGGAAATTATAAAATGTTTATTCTTGATCTTCTTACTTTAAATTGGATTTAGCAGAATTGTTTTATTTTGCAAAAAATGAATGTAATTTATACTTATAAGGGCAACAACTTCACACAACAGAAAATACTGCTTCTCAGTTCACACTGATCTATGCGTTTTTTGTTTGCGCATTTAATTTTATTATATGCTTGAAGAACAATATTTATAAATTCACTTACAGGCAAGAAACATGATATGTCAGCTTGAAATCCCTGTTGGATATTAATTTTTGTACCGTTATGAAAAGTGTATGTGTGGCTGATGCAATAAATCATCCACATGCAGAGAGGAGGTCTATGAAATATTCTTTATTTGACCAAGTATGTAATTAGGGTTTGACATTCGCTATCCCTTTCCCTTGTATGCATTCAGTTTACTTAAAGTCTGTATTTTAATAATTTTTGTCCTGTTCATCAGGACTTGCATCATGACTCCCTTGTTGTTCTATACATTACCCGGTATGTCATATTTTCTCATTGCATATAAATGTTCGTTTGGTGTTTTATTCAAATGCGTACTATTAATTCATAAACCTACATGTATCCTTCACTTGTAACATGGTTCTACTTTACTAACCACAGATTTACACTTAACTAATTTGAATGGGTAGTGTTAAATGATTAACCGTTGGGCCATCAGATTAATTTGAGTAGATGTTCACCTTATTACAGGCCCTAGCCATGCTTCTGAGAAAATTAAACTCATTCAATTAAGCAATAGAGCCATTCAATCAAAAAGTTCAGTCATGAAAATTGTGGGCTGAAAAAAAAATGTAATAAGGTTGCATCGGCGCCCCCTCCTCAAGCTATGTAACATTATAGAGATAAAGTTCGTAAATAAGCATTCAATTCTAAGTCTGAAGGAGGAATTAAAATTATGAAAACGACCGAGGGTGAGGGGGAAGGGGGGGCTATGTTGGGAATTCGACTTACATGTTGCTAGAGAATTTCAGACAGAAATGTTATTAAAGCGTTAAATTTTGGGAATTTATTGATTAATTGACACACATCCTTGCACTT